CACGTTTGTGTGTTGTTTGTCTAACTATTGTGTCACTAAAAGCTTTTGGTTCAGGTTCAGATAAACGTATTATGGTAGGAGCAGTTTGATCTGATGCAGAGAAAGAGAGACAGATAGACAGAAGGGAGAGAAATGAAGCAACTAGATCCAGCAGAGAAAGCAGACAAATTGGGACTTCTGGGTACTAGATTCTCTGCTTTCAATAGTCAGGGTTGTTTGAGAGCATTTGCCTCAGTAGGAGGGTAAATTTGCCTCTCTTACTGTGATTGTGTTACTGTGTTATTTAAAAAAGTTAATAATGGACAGGAATAGTAATAATAGCATTTGATATAGCACTTAAAACATTGTCAAAAAACAACTTAAAAAGCACTTCATAGGATATTTTGTAAAATGTAGTGACTGTGTATTTGTTGGTAAATATGGTGGCCAATTTGCACACAATGACCCCCCAATCAGCCATGAAGTGGGAGATCGATTTCAACTGGAAAATTATTGGCGAGGATACCAGGAGAAACTTGTTTCTCTATTCAAATCGTGCCAATGGGATCTTTAACTTCTGCTTGTTCTTGGTTTAACATCTCACATTGAGCGTGACCTTTGCCTAAACAGCCAGTTGCACATGTGCCAACATACATGCCTGGGTTTTGCAAAATAGTACAGAGGTGCAGCTTACAGGTCTCTGTATTTTGAGATAGGTATGATTGAAGTTATGAAAACTTATGTTCTTCTGTAAAAATAACTCTTTCCCCTAGATGACAGGTTTTCATTCTCAGCCTTATTGTTACTGAGAATATGAAAGGAAAACAAATTATGTGAAGAGAGGCAAGTCAGTTCTGGTTATTCCCAGAAGAGCAGTGGAGATTGATATCCTTTTTTCTCTATTCCAAGGTACATAGGAGTGAAAAGTGCATTTCAAAATTATTCCAGACCAAAAAAAAAAGCACAGAACAAAACTTCACTCATTTTACATAAAAACAGCTTTACATTTGTTTTGTTCAAAGGAATACTATATAGTAGTTTTGTTTCAGACAGTGAAAAGATATTAAAAATATTACTATTTTTAATATTGTTGAACAGTCGTCAGGAAAACACGCAAAGTGTTTCTTTCAAAGTAGTGTTAAGGCCGTTATGGGTTCTGTTTGTAGCTTTTGGTCTTCAGGAATGTCCAGTAAATCGATAAAGCCTCATGTCCATGAGAAAGGAGCGATTCAGAATCATAAAGCAGTAGTTACTGATCTGCAGCGGACTGGATTAACACTTCAGGACTCTTGCCTAGTCATTTCAACCCCATCAGTTTTCACACTTTGGGGCTGCCTTGTGCAAAGACCACTGAATGGATTGAACCATCCGATGGAGAAACTCCCTCCAAACGCTGCCTTCATTCCTTCACAACACAACTTCTTCTCCCAAGTGGGAGTTTCATTTTTGAGACGCTCAATACCCTGGAAATAGCAATGATGGCACAATATAATGTCTGCAGAAAATAATGGTATGTTTATCACAAAAACTTGTAATACTACACATTCACATAGACAGAAATAGGACACAAGATGAGTCATCATCATTAATTTAAAAAATTGCTAAATGTCATTTGTTAAAAGATTTCAAACAAGCTCTGCCACTGCATCACTCCTCAGGCTGCCTCCATACCCACCCTGGTCCAGCTCCACTGGCTCCCTATCCCTCAGAGGAGAGAGTTCAAAATTCTTAACCTCATCCTCAAGGCCCTCCACAGCCTTCTTACCTCAATGACCTGCTAACACCTTATCAACCTGTCCGCTCCCAGCAGGCTCCGGCCTGCCCCACCATCGGTGGTTGGACCTTCAGCCTCTCTACCCCCACCCTTTGTAACTCCATCCCAAAGTCCCTTCTCGCTCCCTCGGGTCCAAATCCCTGACAGTCCAGCGAATTGAGACGTCGGCCCGACAGGAAAGGCACTGCAGAAATTTAATTTTGTATTATATTATCACGAGCACATTTCTAAACTCCCTAGGATGTTTGCACCTATAAGGTTTGTACCAATAAAGCACAGAAGGAAGTGCCTATTATTCGCCTTTCTTTGCCATCCAAATAAGAGTATATACATTTCACATGTAAATCTATTAACATATAAAGGGAATGGACTGAAATAAGACAATATACAGATATTCAGCTGAATCACCCTTTTTTGTAAACCAGTACACAGATTGAGATTCTAAGAATATGTATATGAAGCATCTGAAAGGGCAATTTTTCTGAATATTAAATTTGTACTCAATTTCTGGTCACATCTGCTATAAATCCATCAGAGTTCAATACACCAGTGGCTCTTACGAAGCCAGACACGAGAGGAATTTTGATTTCCTTTCCTTGACTAGAATATTTCAGTGGCACAGATCCAGAGGATAAGGGAAGACAAAGCTAAAATGGATCACAGAGTATATTGCATGGACGGATTTCATATAGAAAGTATACCTGCAGCAATAAAGTACAGATTCTAGTTATAGTTGTGTGGAGACCATCTCTATTCCCATGAATAGCTGCAAGTGTTAAAAGACAAGAAAAATAGAGTTAGTAATGTTAGCAGCAGAGGCAAAAGTGAGAGTAACATGTAGGAGAAAAACAGATTCCACAGTTCCTTTTTTCATTGGTGTGAGATGAAAGTAAATAGTAAAGTGATGTTTAGATTATATATCAGTGTCAAAGGCTAGTAGAAAACTGGAGACATGACGGATTGCTCTAGGACTTCTTATTCATTCCTGGGGTTGAATTCAATTATTTGCCTAAATTGATTTCTTTTATTTTCACCTCATCAGCAATCCAATCCAAACACACTGGAAGCAGCACAGATATGACCTCCACATTGTTTCATTGTTAAAATCAATTGAAGGGAGAGTAGTGATAGAGACATAGCTATCTATTAAGTAGATTGTATATGTACAATGGTTGGATTTTAATTGATTCACATATTGATTTCCAATTTGAAAACTATAACCATTAATGAAAAACATGATGTTAAGGAAGTTCTTAAATAAACACACAAGATATGGAAATCTGGTATAGTAAAATGCATACATAAATATATTGTATAGTTGCATTCAAGAAGAAGCTAGACCTTCACATGAGAGACAGGGGAATAGAAAGATTTGGGAGAGAGTAAGAATGGGTGTGGAGTATAAACACCGGCATGTACTGGTGGGGCCGAACAGCCTGTACATTCCCTACATTCTTTGTAATGTAGATTAACAGTGAACTAGTCAAGATGGTCTTCATTCTCACCCCTCCCTACTGCCACAATTAAATTCTAATGGCATTACAGTGCCATATTCGTGCATAAAGGTATCAACCAAGTTACAGAAAACAAAAAAAACAGGCTTGCAAAGAAACACAAAAACGTAGTACAATGCAGGTGTTGGTTCTGCAGAGGCCTTAGCAATCAATCAGCAACTCCATAGAAATTTTGACACTATTTACATAAGGATAACGGTGAATTCCAAGAAGACAGGCACAGTGTAGGCCGATGTTGAGGATCTAAATACATTTGCAGAAAGTTACTATTCGGCCAGATTAAGAACGTCTGATTTTCCAGTTACTTGTATTTCATAATCTGCAGCTGTAATAAGGAAACTCTCTTGTTCTCTCACCCTTATGCGCAGAGTGGAAATCTTTCCCTTTCGTTCTCACACTGCCTTTTGAAGACCAACCATATTGTTTAGAGTGTACCAGACAGTACATAGAAACCTTAACATTTCCTCATGGAACTCCAAAAGATAGATCTCACCTTGTTTGCTCACATGATGCCATTCCATTGGGAGTGATTCCATATAAAGTCTTACCACAATAAAACAATTTGCAACTGTCCATAGGGGCTCTTCAACACAGATGGAACAATATATATGCATCCCACCCAAGAACTGACTGAATTGCGCTCTGAAAAGTACGAGGGTGAGTGAACACACACTCGCCATTGCCTCACCAGGCTGATCTGCCCAGATGCACCATAGTAAGAGTTCCTGAAATGTGAGCAGAATGTGTTCAGCTACAGTATTCATGACACCTTCTGAGACACTTGACTGTTTTTCTGAGGGAGGGAACCCAAGCAAAGAAATCCAAATCAAAAGCTGCTTTCAAGATCCTTTTCAACATCCTTCTTCAAAACCCTGAAAGCAGCGCAAACAAGGCCCTCTCTCCAATTATCCTGAGTTTGGTTGGCTGGAAGGAATATAGGAGACAAGACAGTTGAAACCTCAGTGGAGGGAGATGGTGGGGTGGGGGATGGGACAGGATGGGGGTGGGGGGGGAAATCAAATGTATCCCATCCCTTGGCAGTGCAGTGAGATAGTGCTCAAACATTCACCCGCTTGTCCCTCAACCAAACGTGTTTTTGATATCTGAACCTAAACAGTGAATGTCGGTCAGCTATTTGACCATGAGGCATTTCAGTCATACCTAATGTTGTTCTCTCAAACAATGCCCACTACATGCAGGAGTCACTGGATAGGGATCAGCATTCAGATTTAGTTTTTATTCTAGCCCAGTTGCACATAGGCTGAAAGCATTTAACTCAACGCATTACTTACTCCATTTCCTGGGTATTCTTCATGTGAGAGCCTAGAGGGCATTAGACATATTCAACCACCTATTTAATTCACATATGTAGTTGTGGTATTTATTCTCTGTCTAAAGAGAAAAGGTGATTTGACTCCCACCTGTCTATTCTAGCAAGCTGACATTTAAGCAAAACTTATTGTAACAAGAATGAAAAAGGAAAGAATAGAGAAGTGTTACAACAACATTGCTTTGCTCTTGGGGAAGACATGCCAGTCTTTCCAACCAGAATCTTTAACAGTAACTTTTAAGTAATTTAACCAAGCAGTGCAGCCCCCCCTAGGAAATAATAATCCTTGCATTTGATATAGAGCCTGATCACATCTTCAAAACGTTTCAAAGCACTTCACAGAATATACTGTAGTGAATTGACTGTATATTTTGTGGGTGAAATCCAAACACAATACACACTCTTTGGAATTTATGTTTCTTTAATTGATAGTAGTATCCAAAAATCACACACACAGCATCCAGATTACATCTGAAGTAAATGCTTAATTATAATAATTTGAAACAGAAACCCTCAAGCCCCACCGCTTTTATACACAGTCTAAAACAGTTTTGTTGCTCCTCCCCTAAGCAAAATACAGGACACAAAGCTGCAAGAAACAATAATATTTAATGTCTGTTTTGGCAATGCTGTAATACTTATTCAACAAAATTTTAAACCAACAGTTAGTTTCCTCAATACTCTGCAAAGCAAAAAAGGCAAAGGCAGCCTTCAAATGACAGATAAAAAGCCTGGCATTGTGTCTTTTAAAAAAACAGTAATTTTCTTTGCAACCTTCACTTAATAATAAACAATATACATCTTTGCATATTCCAGCATTGCAAAGGAATTTTTAATCTTTTGAGGAAAATATGTGAAGGCATTTTGTTTTAATTCACAATAGTTTGTGATTTATTACAGCCAATATCAATGTTTTTGTCCAATATCAATACTGCATTACAATCTTCTTGAATTGCAAAGAGCTTTGTATAAATATTAATGCAAATTTTAGCTCTGCCTTATTATGGTGAATTCACCAGGTCCACCTGACTCCTTGAAAACAGTCAAGCATTTCATAGTCTAACCTTAATATACACAAACCTAGTGCAAGCCTGAAGTCTCCATTAGCTCCACTGACATTTTAGGAAATTACAGATCTACCCTTTCGTGCTATTCCTTTAATCCTTAATCAGACAGATGTACAAAATAATAAGTAAGTGTATGCCCAAGTCCCTGATTATTTTTACATGTAAACATAACAAAAGCCTACTATTGAATGCACTTGTAATGCTCATACTCTTTTTAAAAAAGCATTTAAAATGGTTAGCTGGATATAAAAACTTAAACTTCCAATTTTCTTTCTCCCTTCCCATCTCCAGAGGGGCTGGTTTCAGCAGGTGTACAGTCTACGAGTCACAGCAGCCCTCTGGGATTTTGCCCAAATAAATAGTGTGAACTGGAAAGCAATAGTTTAAATTAAGGGTATGGGAGGTGTTATAGTCGCTTCACTCAGTCTTCGCTCGACATGAGTCACTAGACAGTCATTAGGAGTGGTATCCCTGGCCAACTCCCCTGTCTCACATATATCCAATCTGGGATTCTGAAGCCATTTGTTCGCACCCCAATCAACCCCATGTCAGCTAACTGAGCCCAGAACACCGAGGTTTCCTGGTCTGCATATTCAGTTCCACACTTAGCAGATCATTTACCAATTGAGACACTGGTGGTTGAGTAAAATTTTAAATTTTGCAAAATACTATAAACTATGCTCTTAAAAACCCTTGTTTTAACTATTCACAAGAGAGCATTTTAATTTTTTTTAAATCAGACTATGCTGTATCAAACTTTATACTTAATTTAAAATTTCTGAGAAGATAAACTTTGAGAGATTCACTACTATGGAGGAAAAGTCACTCCCAACAAAAGAAATGCTTTGATCATACCTACTCCCAAACTAACAGCACCCTCCTCAATTCTTCCAATCTGTACCAGATACCACCAAGAACTTGGGAGAACAGAGCTGTTGTAGAAAGACTGCTGTTCCACACTCCTCTTAATCTCTCCCGATGTGAAAACACATGTCATTCATCACAGTTCTGCAAACTGAATACCATAACTTATAAAAGGCCTCATTTATGAGCAGCTAAGACAATTGTTAGTAGCTTTCACTGTACAGATACTGTAAATTGTAACTGAAGTGACTGAGAGGGGGAAAGAGAACAGTGAGACAGAAAATAAGATGGGAAGGGGGAAGGGAAGCATAACAAAAGGGGACAAAGGAAGAAGTCATTTTGTGGAGATTTCAAAAAAAAAATTCCATATTTGTTGGCACCACAGCCTCATTAGGGCCCACACACAGATATCTATTTTAATTTTGGAAGATCAATTTCAACAATTTATCAGTTGAAAATCGTAAACATTACACATAAGAGTACTTTTCTATAGTACTGAATAATGAAGACTTTATAAAAAGATTATGGGAGGCTCAGTTTCTCAGAATATTTATAGTAGCTACCATCAATTGGACTAAGAGTGAAAATTAATATAAAGGAAAACAGAAAGGGAAATAATGCACTAAATTGGCATTCATGGCATTGATCTTTGAAGATTTCCAAGAATTGTTTTTAAAGTTTTCATGCAATACGATTTCATATTTCACAGGTATGGGTGACACTGCTATCTATCCATGACACTAACCCACAAATGACTTGTGTAAATCACTCACTGCGGTGAAGCATACGACAGTTACATACATGCACCATACAAATTGTCCAAGGGATACAATTGTTAATTAAATGAAACAGGAAGATAACCAATCCAATGCCATTGATGAAATTTGACCAAAGTTCCTTCTTGCCTAAGAGGTCTGTATGCACTGGACTTTAAAATAAGCGAATTTACAGTGCTGGTGATTTATTGTTCCTTTAAATACCTATCAATAAGCCTTAACGTTGAGGAGAAAGGTTTTCTTTTGTGAACACATGAAACAAATTCCAGAACGAGTGTGAAGATATCAGATTGCCATCATCAATCAAATCCGTGGGTATGAAAACTCCCCAGGATGAAGCAGAGGAAAGGATGCCAGGATCTCAGAGCTGCCGGGCAGTTATGTGGAAGCCACAGTTAATCTCATTGCACCCCATTAAGTACCATGAAGACCAGTAATGGCAACATGGTAGAGAAAACAGAGCTTTATACCACAGATATACAGTCACTGAGAAAGCATAAATGCATAATTTTCAGTGAAATATTACCAATAGAAGGAACAAGCAGCAAGAAACAGCCCTAAATTGAAAAAAACCCTATATAGATTGATATTTTGAAAATCATCCATCAATCACTTCTAATAAAGATTTTCTTCATTTCAGTTTTTCACCCATCAACAGTTTTTAAGAAACTTGCTAAGTATCAAAGGATAATCCTCTCTCCAAAGGCCTGATTTATGATGACCTCCATTGTATTTGCAGCTTTATAATTTGAATTCATGAAACAGAGAAGGTTGGAACATGTTAAAAAACAAAGTGCACGATTTGATCATCCATATCTTTAAAAATATAGGCCACCAGAAAGGATACGGTCTTATAAATGTTACAATGATTGGTAATTTTAAGTATTTTAAAATGATTTTCAATTGAATTGCTGGCCTAGGATGACTCAGACCACATATTGGTATGGGTCTATCTTCCCTTGGTCTGGAGTTGCGAATGGGCTTAGCCATGCTATTGAAAATGGATGACCGAACACAGCTTTCATATTCATCCATTTTGTTTTTTTAGCCCATCTTCTCTCTTCCTTTTTCAACTGCTCTATTCCCTGGAAACAGAAATAGCAACAGCTTAAATCAAGGTGGTCAGATGATGGAGCGGACTTGTCACTACCCACTATACAGACCACTAGAGCAAAAATAAACCAGCAAAACTCAGATATTTCAATTGAAAAAACATTCGACACAATTTTCAATTACAAAAATACAATAAGCAACTCAAGCGTTAGAAGTTTCAATTACATTTTAAAAAGAAATTTCTCTCCCCCTGCCATTTGTGGAAGTTCTCTTTGCCACCCACCATTCCTCGACCAAGTTGGCAGCAAGCTACCTGGTCCAAGATCTCCGAGAAAGCCTCTATACAGAAGTTACTAGTGCAATGGAGATGGACATGCTCTTCATGTTCTCATATTTCTTGTGAAACACCTCCCCAGATGGTCTGGATGAGACACAGAAATCGTACCGGGTATGTGTATATGAGAGTGTGATAAATATACACACACACACACACACACACACTCACATGGGCAAACCCATTTCCACTCCGACCAGCACTGTGGGTGCTACATCAGCAATCTAAACCACCATTTTTATTTTCAGTCACGTGCATTTTACAGATATGCTTGAAGCAAAGGCAAAAAAAGCAAAGGCAGCACCTATAAAGATGCCAAGCATTCTAATGAAACCTATTACATGATTCTGTTTGAGAAAAATTCAATCTATGTAGGTTTTAGCAGGTTCCAATTCAACTGCTGCTAGTGAGTAATTCCAAACCAGTTTAAACACTTTAGCAAAATGAACACTTTCACATGGCACATCCAGTGGCTGACAGAAACACCAGGATTTGTGACATTAAAAAGGCAAGTTGCAAATTCATGCTAACTGTTCACTGAATTTTTTTAAAATTAAACTCTTATTGCTCACGATGCTTAGTAACAAAGCATTCAAAACAATTGCAAAAAGTTGTGGCATGCTACACAAAACAGGCACAAGCGCATTTAAAATATACTCTACAGTTGCAGGAACTGAATCGAATAAAAACTATACAAAAGAAATAGAATAAATGAAAGGAGACAGTAACAGAAACAAATGAAGAGGTACAAACATGAATCCATCCATTAGCCTGGTTCCATCACAACTGTATAATCTTACTCGCCCACAACTGACTTTAATGTCATTCATGCCATCAAAGACAATTGTGGAGGAGGAAGAAATAAACAAATGTGATGGAAGTACCGCATGTTTGCAGAGCTGGGCTGGTCCCGAACAATTCTCTTTCCTTCCCTTACTCCCCCTATCCACCCTCGGAGTGGCTGATCTGGAATACCGGTGGTTAGCCACCTCCCCCTCTCTCCAGCTCAGAGTCAGGCTCCGCCACTGTTAAGCGCTCTGAGACGCTACCCTGCGTGGAGGGTGCTATATAAGTGCAAGTTGTTGTTGTGACAATACAAACTGGATTTACTGTATTTATGTCCGATTAACTTCTTCCTTTTCTCTTGCACTCCTGTTATTTGCCTACAGAAGCTATATTCATCATACAGTACCCACAAGTACAGTAGTCTGATCCACAAGTGTCAAAATAAACCAATGGGTATCAACCCAATGAGCCTGTTCTACTAGTTTATTAGATTAAGGCAGATTTTTGAATCACAATTTCCTACCTTTTCTCCATATCCCTTAATATACTTTTTCCTAATTATCTGTCCATCTCCCACCTTGAACATCCTAATCAATTTGGCATATTTACATTTCTGTGCGGTGCGTTTCACATCGTTAAACGTTTCTGCGGAAAAAATTTTTTCTGTGTCTTTGATCTGACTTCTAACGACCTTAATTTTAATGTTATTATGTCCTCTTGTTTTGGAAGCACTGTTCCAGAGTAAAGAGCTATCTGTCCCTTGTCTAGTTTATCAATTCCATCCATTGTTTTAACCATTTCAATCAGATCATTAGGCAAAGCAACCATTTGCTTTCTCATAACCCCCTACAGAAAGTCCATCCTTTCATATCTCTTCAAAGAACATACAAAATCCATTCAAGCAGACAAAGGCAGACTTGTCCTGACCAAACTGCAAAACTCCTTCCTCACTGAAATAAACTCTATAGCCTGCCTCAAACTAAGACAGCATGGTTACCACAAGACTGGTTCTATATAATATGGCAACATCACCAGGGAACAGAACTACACAAAACCACAAACTATTGCAGGTTCAACTAATTCTCACCCAATTCTTGAATTGACTAATAAATGTGATATCAAATTAAAGCACCAATTGTTTTTATGTGGCTTACACTACAACTGCAAAGATGATTTAAAAATTTTGGTTATTTATAAACTTATGCAGCACAGATACAGCAATGAATATCATTCTACCTCCTTCATTTTTTTTGAAAAACAGTATACAAATGCTTCAATGTGTAAAAACTTTTTAGTGCTGTTCTGAAACAGACTGAGAAACTCCCACGTTCCATCCTCCTAGATGAATCAAATGATCATTGACAAGGAGTAATGGGATGTGCACAGCAATAAAGCGCAGTGTTGAGAATCTGTGGGTGAGGAAAACTCTCTCAACCCTGATCATTATCCAGTGACTTGATCGTAATAAGTGTAGTTTCCAGCATAACTGACAACAATGTTTTCTTTCCTCTCACTAATGCAATGGAGATGGACATGCTCTTCACGTTCACATGTTTCTTGTGAAACACCTCCCCACGTGGTCTGGATGAGAATCAGAAATGTGTATATTCGAGTGCGATAGTGTGATTCACCCAAAACCAGGCTTTGGATAACTCACTGATACTCAGCCGCACATGAAAGCTCCTGTTCCTGGAAGACTCCCAACAGCATGAAAACCATGCCGCAGCATGGATCAGCATCTTTTGGTGTGTGCGTGATCGCACATGGAACAACATGCAATGGAAGGCTTATTCTATTCCTTTTCTTAGATCTCATTTTGAATCGGTAAACTGATGTGCACCATTTTCCAAAATTCTTTTAAATTTTTCGTTGGCCTCCACTTCACCAGCAAAGAGTAAAGGCAGTAGATTGGCTGCTGTCAATGCTGTTATGTAACTGGCTTTAGGAGGTGTAAGAGTAGCGAAGGTCGACACTTCTTACAAGAAAGAATCTCACAGCCACTTAGTTTATTGAGCATATCTGGCTCCGGTCTGCTCCACACTCCCCGCCCTAACATCGGTGGCCGGGCTTTCAGCCTCTCAGCCCCTAGGCTCTGGAGCTCCATCCCCCAGTGTCTTCGCCTTACTTCCTCCCTTTCCTCCTTCAAGGCCGGTCTCAAGACCTTTCTCTTCAACCGTGCCTTCACCTCCCCTCTCGACTCTCTACCCCCTCCTCGCTCCCTCCCTTCCCTCCCCTCACCCTGACCATTTCCCCCTCCTCTGGTCCCGACCCAACTGTACAGCGCCTTGGGACGTCCTCCCGACGTGAAAGGTGCTCTATAAATGCAATCTTGTTGTTGTTGCATGGTGAATTGCTAAGATGTTAATTCTTCATCAGCATGCAAACGGATGCAGAATTTCACTTTAGCATATCTGTATGTAGTTAGTCCCACACAATGAAGACTAATAAAATAAAATTTAGCATGCGATGAAGTGTCCTTGAAAGGAGATAATTTACTCTTTTTTAAAAAAATCAAAGAATACGCACAAAACTGAGACAAGTACTCACCGTTTCATCTGTGCAGATGGAATGTACTTGAGTGCCAAACATCACAGCAGTGAAGATAAGGAAGAGGAGACCCTCAAAGCACAGAAGAATGAGGAGAATCACTGTGGATGGCGGTGAGAATGAACTGCACTCTAGGAAACCGAGACATCGTGGTTAGTATTATATACAAACTCTTCACCAGCTACAAGTATCAACAGACTTGGCAACACATGTTAGTTTGGTTTCCACATCCATCTCTATGTAGATGAAGTAGTAAGATTCAAGTTACAAGTTTATCAATACGTCAATTATTGTCCAAGAACCTGATCCCGTAAAGCTGCTGCACTTGAAATAACATATTTACAGAATATAATCATAGAAAATTACAGCTCAAGAAGGAGACCATTCGGCCCATCAAGTCTGCACTGACTCTCAGAGCAAATTCTTTTCAATCCCACTACCCTATCATATCTCCATAAGTCAAGCTTCTTTCATATATCCGGCTACGACCCTCTTGAAAACTAGAATGGATTCTCCCTCAACTTAATCATTCCACATTCCAACAACTTTCAGTGTGAAAAAAAAATCTCCTAAATTCTCCTTTTGCTCTTACGTGGGTACCTTAAATCTATGACCCCTAGTCACCCCAACTTCCAGTGGGTTAGGGAGAAACTATCAAAACCCCTCATTATTTTGTACACATCAATCAGGTCCCCTCTCAACCTACTGTGTTCCAATGAAAACAGACCCAACTTCTCCAATCTCTCCTCATACATATAACCTCTCGTTCCTGGTTAATCTGCTCTGCACTCCTCCAGGGCCTTAATATCTTTCCTGAAGTGAGGTGATGTATACATATACACAAACACACACACTCATGCATCTCCCTCACAAAAATACATAATTTGGGAGCTTGATTTAACAATTCAACTTCAATCATGTAGGCCAGCATAACCCGCTTAAAAGTAACGTGCAACAGAATAAACTAAAAACAACTTCCCCTCTCACTATTTACATACCTCACTGAATAATCATCCTTTCAATAATAATGGAACTTCAATACTCTTAGTCTGTGCCTAACACCAGAGATATGCTGCGATTTTGTAGTGATTAACATGTGATAGCAGAGCTGCCACAATTTTGCCAGATGCCTTTCGCTTGACAAATCATATTTTTCTCAATCGTACACATACAGAGAGCACCCAGCAACTCATTCAGCAACTATCAATTGCCAAATAGCTTTTGACTCGCATGACTAAATCAATTTGTCTATGCTGTCACTTGAGCAAAGTACTGGGAAACTGTCAGCACATACAGAGCTGTATCAAATTACGAGTCATTACCTTCAGAGTAGGAGATTTTGGAAAAAGCAGCAGCTTTTTTTTTTCAAAAGTTACCCCTGGTTAAATATGGGTTTCTATTAACAAACAGTGACTGCTGGTGACACCACTGGCAGAAATGATGACTGGAATAGAGAGGAAGTGAACTCTTGAGCTTGACAACAGTAGGGAGCAGCATACTGAATTGATAGTATTGGCAGAAAAGTCCAAAATATTGCCATAGCTGTTTTGCTTTTTAAAAACGTATTACAATGTAATTTATATAGCGCCTTTCATATCAGGAGGAATTTTCACAGCACTTCATACAGCTGGAAGTTTCAGTGTGTAATGACCAAAAACTATCTTGAATTGGTAGATTGTGCAGACTGCGCACATTCACACACCTGTAATCTGATCTGATTTAACAGAACATAATGCTCAATAATCAGAACAATTGTCATTTGGAATTAGGACTCCAAGCAGCAAGTCACGTCTGTTCGATCATTAAGCACCAAATAAAAAAGCACTTGTCAATTCAAAACTAAATTGGCCAAATCACTCAAAACCATAAGCTGTGGGAAACAGAAAAATTCACATGGCACAGTAGAGCCTTTTTGCAGTAAAGATATTTTTGGTCAGTCGAGTGCTTAAAAGTATCCAAGCTAGACTGACAGGTCAACATATGTATGTCACCTACAATGTGCACTCTTCCTGGAAGAATACACACCATTTACCTAATTCCAGGGAGTATTATGTGGGGGCTGGCAAGTGGGAAACGTGCGCGTTGGGGTATTGTGGGAGTTAACAACTTCATTTACATAGCACCCTTCACTCGAAGCACTTAACTCCTGATATATGCTTTATCCAAATGTATTTCAGGCATTTGATGTCCAACATGTTCTGTTCCCAGTACCAACATCTCATCTCTTCCCTTGATATAAATACACGTATGATATATGCGTTAGTGCCTATTTGAAGTTTAATCGTCTTAGTGTTTTGCTTTATACTTACTTGCCCATTCTTCTTCAAAGCAAAACAAAAAGTGAAGGCCTACCAGGAGAAGGGAATGTAGTGATATCAGAGATATATACATCTGCAACACAGAAGAACATTTTTAAGTGGTTTTCATTAGTAATCTAAGTTTTAGATTTAACTTAAAAACTGAAAAATGCAACCGTAGAGGTCTCGTTCTCTGCTAGTGCAGGGCCACATTATTGAAAAGCCATGTCTTGAAAAAGAAACTTGGTACATTTGCAGAATATGTGCAAAATAATCAGTGTTTAATATAAAAGAACAAGTTATTGATATTATCTCAGCCTTATGCAAAATATACAGCTGAGAATATTGTGCTTTTAAGAAAAATCCTCATTTAATATAGCGTTTTTCACGTCAGGAGGACAACTCAAAACCCTTCATAGGGTTCACTTTAAAGTGTAGTGATTGTAGGTGAAGGCAGTAGCCAATTTTCACAGCAATATCTCACAAACAGCCATGTAGTGAAATGACCAATTTCATTGGAGGGATCGTTGACTGGGAGATCAGGAGAAACCCCCTTCACTTTTCTGAATAGCGCCATGAGAATATTTATGTCCACCTGAATAGGCAATGTTTTAGTATTAACAATGCAATTATAACATCAACACTTACTGTAAATAATACAAAGTATTTCTGGTTATTCTCCCCTACACAGTTGTTAACCCATGGACAATGGTGATCCATCTTCCGAATACATCTCTTGCATACGCTGAAAGACAGTGTTTAAAGGAAGCTTCAATCATTTCAATCAAAATTATGAATTTCACTCACTAACAAAATGTATTCCAGAATCATGCTCTCAAACTGGAGATGTAAAGCATGTCAGTAATATAGGACAAGAAGGCATGTTTTATTTCAGTTAAATCCAATGTGTGGAGACAGCTTTGGTTTCTTTTACCTGGACCAATTAAAAATAAAAGCGCCACTGGCGTTACTTTAAGCAAGAGCTTTGTTGCCTTTTTGATCATCTTCTCACCTTTTCGCACCAAACCCCTTGTGAAAAAATCTCACTATGGCTGATACAACCATGAGAATTCAAGGATTTATAAAACCTTGAAGACAAGATGAAAATTCAGTAGCTTTTCGTTTGATTCCACTTGGCATCAAAATTTGCTGCTACCAAGTTAGTTGATATGGTAAACTGAGGAGGGATGCAGAAAACTATAGGAGATCATAGTAAAGTTAGTGGAGTGGGAAGGCAAAGAGTGGCAAATGGAATTCCATACCTTATACGTGCCAACCTGCCTGTTATAATGCATGGTTTCCGGGAAGGGGGGGGGGTATGTCAGCTGTGTTAACTTGAAGATCAAGAGGCAATTGGTTTGGCCATAGTTGGAGCAGTTTTGAGCATCTAATTATATAAAGCATGAAGAAATCCATCCAATCAGTCTAGGCTGGACAGAAATACAGATCCAGAGGTTAAATGATAGTGCTGTAGCCACTCCATCACTGAGTTTCCAAACTAATATTACCAGGTTTTTCCAAATAGTAAAGATGGGCACAATGTAGCTTTTCATTAACATATATCACCAAACAGTCTTACAATACAAAATTGCATTTGCATAGCGCCTTTCACGTCCTCATTTCATTTATGTTTGAATTCAGACTGGTTTTTAAACAGAACAATTTACAATAGCTTTTTTTGTTTAAAAACCAACAATCCATCAATTGTAAATAGGAGATGGACACAAATGTAATGTGGAAAATAAAATGCAATTCATGTTTATTCCCACTTTACCTGCAGTGATGTGCTCTCTCTGGTTTGATGCTGCAACACTTGGGGCACTTGTACACCACCTGGCCTGGCTTCAGCTGTAAACTTTCAATGAACTCTTTAGTTGCATTCCCTTTTGGTACTGCACCCTACCAAAAGAACAAATTTTGCACAGCAGTTAGTAAAAGAAAATCCAATATTTTAATTTGAGCATTGCTTCACATTCTTTGCTACTGTGCCGAGTGCAACCATTATAGTTTGGTACAGCACTTTGAAATCAACCCAAGGATCGACTTTCACACAGGGAGTTAACAGCAGTTTACTCATCAGAAATGTATTAATACAATTGGAAAACATTTAGGCTTTGGAAATAAACATTATTTGCAAGCAAAAAATCTTGTCAACATCTCTATCTCTAAAATCGAGTGTGAATTAAAATTAATATAAATTACAATGTATGCAGAAAAGTCAAATTGCACAAATATTTCTCCTACTCTTCATTTAGGTTAGCTGGAATATGCTGGAATGTCTCTGGAGATTGAAGAGAATGCTTATCCAACTAAACTAGTCCTGTAGCTCAGTGGTTAGAGCACTCGCTTTGCAAGCAAGAGACCTGGGTTCGATTCCTGGCACGGTGAAACCTTGGGCAAGTTTCTTTACTCCACATGCCTGATAATAACCACTCAAGAAAAAAAAACAATAAAACTTGTCACTTCAATCCATGATTAAATTTGTGGGACATTGCTGTGCGCAATTGGCTGCCGTGTTTCGCCCACAAATATAGTCAATTCACTTTACAGTATATTCTGTGAAGCGCTTGAGAAGTCTAGAAAACATGAAAAACCCTATAACAAATGCAAGGATTATTATTATTAATGTTGAGTGATTGGTAGTACTGTAGAATCAATAATGTAGCAATTTTACAACTGAACAAATGAGTAAACCCTATTTTTAGTTAAATAAAACAAGTTTCCAGTTTCTGTATCAGCAGTAATGAGGGATTCTGGAGCTGTGTGACAGCCATCAATGTTTACAGTACGCATTGCACAGGAAATTATCTAACATGATTATCAAGGACTGTAAAACAGTTCAAGAAGATTAGCCTGAAATTGTCATCAGCTACAAACAAACACAATTACTACACTTTACAGTGAATCCCGTGAAACATTGATATCCTCCCAATTTGAAAGGCGAAAATGCAAGATTTTAGTATTATTACAAATAAACATTGATAAAGCCAATTAAATACCACAGCAGCAGTGCTTAACTGTATATAACAATGATACTTGCATTGTGTGTCATTAACACATCTCAAAACACTTCAAAGGTCCAACATATGCAAAATTACCTCAAAAGTATGTTTCTTACAAAACAAAGTCGCTGTTCTTGAATTGCTGCAAACAATAAACTAGCTGGAGTTGAGTGAAAAGCACAAAATGGGTGAAATGGGCTCATGGGGGGAGAGAAAGGGAGAAAAAAAAGAGATGAAAATAGGCATATAAGAAAGCTCGCAACAAATAACTAGAAAAGGGTGAAAAAAGGGAAGAACTACCACCGTTTATTTAGAGGATGCATGACGTACATCTGACTGCTGGGAGGATGCAGTTAAAGGCTAGGAGAAAATTCTTCACATAGTTCTGCTGCAGCAATCTAACAAAAAACAAATCAAGTGCAATAAAAGGAAGCCAACAATATTAAGCAGTGTATCCTGTGACCTTTGCCCCGATCACATTTAAATAAGTGTGCAAAATGTATTTGTGGAAAGGGCTGCAGTGCCAGCTTTATTCTGAATCTCTAACATAATGTATAAGTAGGAAAGCAAGCCCAACTTTTCAATCTTTACCTTCTCCATAAATTAAGATGATTTCATTATCTCAAATGAGAAAAATCAACTTTAAAACCAGAGGACCATACAACACAAACAAGGGTGCCATCAGTAAAGTGTTTCAGCACCAATATCCGAACACTTAAAAGGTTTTAAAAATACTCCAATCAAATGAACCAAAATCCCCAAAGCCCTCCACAGCAATTGCTTGTTATCCCATTAATGACTGAAATAAAGCTACAAATAAACATTTGTAGTGACCTGTGAAAATAATGTAGGTAATTTTAAAAATATTTTACCAACAATCCCTGCAAGATTAATAACAGCAGTTTCATTAATTGAATGATTCAAGACCAAGTCCAGATAGGGAGTCTCTCTCACACACCACACCCACTGTTCACGTTTGTAAAACCTTCCTAAATTCACGATGCATAGATCGCCAAATGTAATTTTGTATAACAGCTTTCACATCAAAGTCTCTTGAAGATTTTCACACAATATACTGTGCAGGTAAACTCACATAAGTCATGTCAGTAGGGACCATTACATTTAACACAGTAAATCTCTTTATAAGTCGTATAAATGTACCCGAATCCCATTCAGTTTCCTGCCTAAAAACGCTAAGATTTATTTGCACTAGTGATATTTTATGGGGTTGAGGTGAAAGGGAAACCATTCTGGACAGCTCTCAAACATAAATGTTATTTTCATGGCACCTGGCAGCAGCTTGCTATTTAGATTGTGTGAGGCATCCAGGAAGGAGAACAGTAATGCTGCAGGTATACCATCAGGAGAAAAGCTGCTTCACCTTTGACAGCAAAGTGATGGGCAGCAGGAATTTAGGCTCACACAGCCCGCACAACATTGCTTTGAATTGGGGCCAGGTTATATAAAAAAAATTTTTTAGCCGATGCCCACCACGGTAAAATCATGGATTTGTTTCATAAAACTAATTAACCATCTCTTTATAAACAATAAAATACTTTATTCAAAGTGTTACACTGCAGCTTTCAAGATCGGTGCTACAAGATGATGTGCATCGCCAGAGACCCTGTTTATACTGCATGTGGTGAATCATTGCCAACTGTGCAGTGTAAATTCTGCATTAGAAGTATTTCACTCACACTTTTAAATTCATTGCGATTTCCAATAAATCACCATCATTCATCCATTTTAGTACCAAAAGGGTACTACGGGCTAAATAGTCTCAAATGCAAAAGAAAACCATTTAATTGACTTTCCATGAGACATTTCTATGCATCGAATAGCTGGGACAATCCCAGCTCGAGCAGTGCTTCATACCACTTGAGCAATTAAAGAAACTGGGCAAGATATTCCTCAAGCATATAAATTGTGACCGACAATATCCACCCGTAACTGAACTTAGTAAAAGCATATGCATACATAACAGGAGTAGGCCATTTGGCCCATTCAGCCTTTAAAACATTTTCTTAGACCACGATTGAAATAAAACTAAATAGCACACCCTATACTGGTTAAGCATTTATCTACTTCTCACTTCAACATTAACTCTGTATTAACAGCCTTTCTAGGAAATTACACAATCTACAGCTCTTGAGCAAAAGAAATGTGACCTGATTTCACCACTGGAAGGTCTAGGTCTAGTTTTTATAATCAAAGTCGCTGCACTTGAGGTCGGAGGAATTTCACCACTAGGATACCAGTCAACAATATAACGAAGGCACTGCAAATTCATTCCAACATCAATAACTTGGAACAGATATATGAATTGATTACCTCTCAAAACATGCTTTTTGATATACTTCTGATACAGCTATTATCAGCTGTATTCTGTCAACCATGCAAGGGCTCATCTCATGTCCAAGTCGCAGTATGATTATTACGACTGCATATTGAGACTCCTTGAATGGAAATATTTGGCCGAGATTCATTCCACAGATGTTTAAAAGGAAAAAAATGATAGTTGGGTCTGGTAGGACATTGGGAAAAGAAAGAGTAACTGGATCCATCCGCCATGATCCAATAAACTGGCAGAATGGGCTGAATGGCTTATTTCTAGAATAAAATGGGAAGAAAATATCAGTTTGTTTTGGGACACTTTCAATTTTATGCAATCCTAATACATACAATCTCCAAAGATGCAATCAATTTACTGCTGAATTAACAGAAACAACAACATCTTGTATTTATATAACACCCTTCATGTGGGGTCGTGTTTTGGTGCTCTCAGCAAGTATTTACAGAAAACTTCAATGGTCAACATGTGAAATTCAACTTTCAGGGATTCCATTGTCAAATGCACTTAAACAAGCACCTTATCCTTTGCAATGGGCATGCGTGGGATCTCCCACAAACAGGCAATATTGTTACAATTGCGGTGATATTTCATGACCTGATATTCCCGCATAGCAGATCCATGATCCTAGTGAATTCCTAAAACTCAATACCTTTGTTCTAATAATCTTATAATCCTTGCATTTCATATACTTTCGTGTTGGGAGGATGTCTCAAAGAGCTTGATAGGATTTACTGAAAGTACAGTAACTGTGTAAGGAACAGTCAACCAACTTGACTGTCGTAATGTCCCACAAACAGCCATGAAGTGAATGGCTAATTGTATCAGGGAGACTACTGACCAGGACACTGGAAAACTTCTCACCCTTTTTGAGCAGTGCTATTGGGATCTTTTAATCTTTAACCTAACAGACAGACAGGAATTAGGCGTAACACCTCAACAGAATGCTGAGATTCTCAAACAATGCCGGGCATCCTAACATTGGACAGTCAGTCCAGACCAGGAATGTGCAAATTGTAAGTTGACCGGGCAAGTTGGCCATCCTTGGCTTAATCTATGAGATCTCAATTTGAAGATTGAACCCACAGCCTTCTGACTCAGACGCATGATACGATGATCAATTTCACTGGGTTAGGATACACAATTTAGCTGTGCCCCTGAGCAGGAATGATCAATGAAAATATCTCCCTGGTTACAACACTCCTGCTGTACTTGTACTATTGGCCAACATGCAATCCAACTCCTGTACCTCTAAAAGATCTGTCATGATCCCCTAAACTGGTGACCAGGCTCAATGAGCTGAAGTGGGTTGGGGAGTAAGCAGGTCAGAGAGGTTGGGAGTTGCCAGGGTATGAAGGGATTTGAAAAGGAGTGAGGATCTTAAAATCGATCCGTTCAGCGATAGGAAGCCAGTGGAGCCTCGTTAGAACTGTTGTAATGGGGGTACAGAGTTTAGTATGGGTGAGTATACGGCAGTGGAGTTTTGGATGAGCTGGATCTTGTGAATGCTGGATCTTGTGAATGGTGGAACCGGGGAGACCAGTGAGGAGGGAGGTGATGAACGCATGGATGAGTTATGGATGGCACTTACAACACTTCAAAGTAAATCTTCTGAAATGCTTTGAGTCATTTTGATGACAGGATAATAATAATCTTTGCATTTAATATAGTGCCTTAGGTCGTTGAGGCGTCTCAAAAGCGCTTCACAGAATATATTGTAAAGTGGATTCACTGTGTATTTTGTGGGCATAATAATAAGAGAAGGCTCTATATTAAATGCAAGGATTATTTTTTCTTACTATTAGCTGGATAGGTTACCACTTTTTTTAAAAAAGATAATCAAAATGAATTTATAGGACTTACAGGATCGGTTAGCATCGCTCTAGAATGAGAAGCCAGCGCCAGGAAAGCCAGGGCATTGAAGAGAATCCCGTTGAACACACTGTACATTACGTCTTTTGTTGGAAGGAGCATAACGAAAACAACCACAAACTCAGCATAGATGACGAGTATCCAGGTTACAATGGTGCAGGCTACACCACAGCCATCTTTGATGAACCAGATCTTGTCCATTGAGCCACCGTCTGGAGAAGGTGGTACACACTGATCGGCCTGCATGTACTCGGCTCGACGCTCGATATCTCTACTACGACTGGATGACGTCAACATGATAAAAAATTATAGTCCATAATTATACCTGTTAACAAAAAGAAAAAAATTATTTGCCAACCTGTAAAAAAAATCCACAACCATCTTAAAACAGCTTTCCAGGTCTCTTTTCAGAAAAGTGAAAACGTCTAATAACTGTAGATAATTATAATAATAATCCTATAATAATCCTTGCATTTGATATAGCGCTTTTCACGTCGGGAGGACGTCCCAAAGCGCTTCACAGAACACACTGTAAAGTGAATTGACTGTATATTTGTGGGCGAACGCGGCAGCCAATTGCGCACAGCAATGTCCCACAAACAGTCGTAGATTGAAAATGACCAATTTATTATTGTTTTTGGTTTTGGAGGGATTATTATTAGGCTCTGTGTGGAGTAAGGAAACTTGCCCAAGGTTTCGCCCTCTGCCTGGAATTGAACTCAGGTCTCTCGCTTGCAAAGCGAATGCTCTAACCACTGAGCTACAGGACTCCACAAGTAAATTATGAAGTAAATTGGCTCCATAATTTTCAGAACTAAGTCTGATCAATCCAAAATGAATGTAATTTTTACAGAGACAGACCGCTCATTCACTGATATATAATTGTATTGTATGCAATATATAATCATATAAATTTTTAAAAATGAAGTGCAACAATAAAATTTTAATTCTCTTAAATAATTAAGACAGTTTATGCTCCTTTCTCACTCCCGCCCTAAACAATAATAATTCTTGCATTTGATATAGTGACAATTATGCACAGCAACAATGTCCTACAAACGCCATTGAACGAATGACCAATTTTAGTTGGGGGAATTGTTGGCCAGGACACTGGGAGAAACCCCTTTCTCATTCTGAATAGTGCCATGGGATATTTAAAGTCCACCTGAACAGACAGACGGGATCTCAGTTTAACGTCTCATCCAAGGACAGCACCTCTGGCAATACAGCACCCAACCCCCACTCAGCGCCACACTGAAGTGTCAACTGAGGCTATATGATTCCACGACCCAATGTGGGGCTTGAACCCACAATCTTCCGACTTAGAGATGAGAGTGCTACCACTGAGCCAGGCTGACAAAACAAAAAGTCATCCAGGCTTTTGTCACCTTGAGACTAGATTTCTCCAACGAACATTTTCTAGCAAAACATTTCACAGGAAAAACTGTGCAATGTATAAACTGATGTGAACCAGTTCTAGTTTATAGTGCAGTAAAATGCTATCCAATGCTAAACACGGGCATACTAAAACAGAAGATTTGAATGGAAACCTTATGCTGCTTCTTGGGTTAAATATCAAGGACAGTGATTCTTGAGCAATTTAACATGAGAGGAGTATCCAGTAACTATAAAGAGAAACTTCAGAATTGTGTGATTAATAATCTTATAAGAATCCCCTTTTAAAATAATAGAAGACAAAAATCTCAAAACCAAGGCAAACTGAGTTGACACCTCAAGTTGAAATCAATACTAGAGAAACCGCGAACATTTAATGAGAGAACTGGGAATTGGCCTATATTCAAGACCGATCTGAAGCCATCTTAACATCAAGTACAGACAGTGATGGTATAAATTACAGCAACCAGGAAAAGTCAATAGCTTATCCATATTAACAAACAGGGCGGGTCTACTCCAGGACAATACACAAAACCACTGAATAATAATCCTTGCATTTGATATGGCACCTTATCAATTCACTTTACATGAAGTGCATGGGGCGTCGAGAAGACGTGAAAAGCGCTATAGCAAATGCAAGGATTATTATTATTATTATTATCACACTGTTGAGACATCTCAAAGCGTTTCACAGACTGTACTGTAAAGTGGATTGACTATATCTTGTGGGCAAAATGGGACAGCCAGTTGCGCACAGCAATAACCCACAGATAAGACATGGAGTGAGTGACCAATTTTGTTTGGGGGATTGGAGTCCTGTAGCTCAGTAGTTAGAGCACTCGCCTCGCAAGTGAGAGATATGGGTTTGATTCCCGGCAGGGCGAAATCTTGGGCAAGTTTCCTGGAGTCCTGTAGCTCAGTGGTTAGAGCACTCGCTTTGCAAGTGAGAGACCTAAGATCAATTCCAGGCAGGAAACCTTGGGCAAGTTTCCTTACTCCACACAGAGCCTAATAATAATCCCTCAAAAAAAAACAATAATAAATTGGGCATTTTCAATCTACGACTGTTTGTGGGACATTGCTGTGCGCAATTGGCTGCCGCGTTCGCGCACAAATATAGTCAATTCACTTTACAGTGTGTTCTGTGAAGCGCTTTAGGACGTCCTCCCGACGTGAAAAGCGCTATATCAAATGCAAGGATTATTATTATTATTACTCCACACACACCTGATAATAATCCCTCAAGAAAAAAATACAATAATAAATTGGTCACTTCAATCCACGACTGTTTGTGGGACACTGCTGTGTGCAATTGGCTGCCGGGTTTCGCTCACAAAATATACAGTCAATTCACTTTGCAGTATATTGTGTGAAGCGCTTTGAGACGTCGAGAAGACATGAACAGCGCTATATCAAATGCAGGGATTATTATCAAAAAACAAAACACAAAATACTGCAGATGCTGGAAATCTGAAACAAAAAGAGAGAGAGAGCTGGGAACACTCAGCAGGTCAGGCAGCGTCTGTGGAGAAAGGAAAGGGAGTCAACGTTTCGGGTCCACGACCCTTCGTCAGAACAGAGCGGGTTGGGAGGGGGAGGCTTTTAAGGACAAGTTGAGGGGGGGGAGGGGGGGGGGGGAGGCAGGAAAAGGAAGACAAAAAAGACAAAGAAGAGAATGTGCTTGTTGATGGGTTAAAGAGGTGACAGTGGCATAAAACAAAAGGGGGGGGGAAACAAAACTGGGGAGAGAGAGAGAGAGAGAGAGAGGGCGGTGTTAGTTGTATGAACAAGGATCATTATTATTATTGGCCGGAACACCAGAAGAAACTCGCTTCTCTTTACGAATAGTGCCATATGGGATCTTTAACGTCCGCCTGAACGCACCGACGGGGGCCTCAGTTTAACATTTAACAGTGTTTTGGTCACACACTCACACACACTCACTCACTCACCAGAAAAACCCGCTCATCTTCGCGGGGCCGCCGTCGCCCCCTCAACACCAGAGGCCTCGGACTGTCACTAACAGGGCCAGAGCCTGCGCCCGCCGCCTCGACCCACGGCCCCGGGGACCCGCACTCACACCGCCCGCCGCTGCCCCTCCGGACCTCTCCCTACTCCATTCCGCGCAGGCCTGGTCGGGGCCTCACAGCGGCCAGGCTGCCCTCTCGGTGACTCGCGACCAGCGCCGCCCGTTACCCTGGACACCGGAGCCTCCTTCAGCACACACACGCCCCGCGCACCGGAAGTTAACCGCCACTTCCGGCGCCGCCCGCCATCTTGAAGCCGTTTCGTGCTGCGAGGCAACAATCACGTGACCTCACAGACACGGCGCCCGAGCCGCTGGAAGGGTATCTCGTCGCTGATTCCGAGCTCTGGTTGTTTTTTTATTTGAAATCGTCGTATCGCTCGAACTGTTGCCTATCGGGGCGGGGAGAGCTTCCTTGTCAAAACTAGACCCTCGTAGCGGGGGAAAAAAGCAATGGCGTTTGCCAAAGCTGACGTCACCGGCCGCGGGGGGGGGGGGGAGGTCACGGCGGCCGAGGCGGGAAAGCGCGCGGTGACGTCGCGCGAGTGGGTGCGGCTCGGGCCGGTGACGCTCGAGCCCCGCCTCCTCCTCCTCCTCCCTGGTGTCGTGGGTGATGACGTGAGGTCCCGCGCTTGTAACCACCAGCAACCAAGATGGCGGCGGTGCTGCTGAGCGAGGCGGAGAAAGTGTATGTGATGCATGGGGTGCAGGTGAGAGGCCGCCACAGGGTGTACTGTATAATACACACACACACACACACACACACCAGCTGTGCCGACCCGTGGCCGCCACACTTGCGACCAAAGGATCCAATATGCAATGTAGGTTTGCGTAGTGATGGCTGAGGTTCGGGTTGGTTTTGAGCTGTTGCTGTTACCTTATACGACAGGTCCCACAACCTTCGGGGATCTCTCTTCGCATCCACTGGAATTCTATACATTAAGGAGAGGGGCTAAACCCCCTCCCCCCTCCCCCCAGCCCCAGGTTGAAGCCCCAATTCGAGCCCCGGGCTTCGCCCTCCCCGGCTCGTCGCTGCCCGGCCGCGGCGCGGAGGAACCCGGAAACCCCGCGGCCTGACCGAGCCGACCGGCACCCGCCATCGGCCCAACTCCGACACGGTGATGCCCGGCGGCGGCGGCAGCAGCAGCAGCAGGAAAAGCCACCTCGCCGCCGCCATCTCGTTCCCGCCACTTGGGTTCATCCGAGTGCAATGCGGCGTGCCATAGTCCCTCCCTTCCCTCCCCTCACCCTGACCATTTCCCCCCTGCTCGGGTCATGACCCAACTGTGCAGCGCCTTGGGACGTCCTCCTGACGTGAAAGGCGCTTTATAAATGGAATCTTGTTGTTGTTGTTGTTGGGAGTTGGCGCAGCCACCGGGTGCAACTGCGTATGTGTAACTGCCATACACGTGTGATGAGCTTGTTTAGATCACAAATCATCAACGATAGGAGATCCCCGAAAATATGCCGCTTGCACTCCTCGATGCAATACCTTTCCAATGAGGTATTGGAAATCATGTCTCTACTCCAATCGGTTATTGAGATCTTGGCTGATAATAATAATAATTAATTATTAACTACAAGGTGGAGTCCTGTAGCTCAGTGGTTAGAGCACTCGCTTTGCAAGCGAGAGACCTGAGTTCAATTCCAGGCAGAGGGCGAAACCTTGGGCAAGTTTCCTTACTCCACACAGAGCCTAATAATAATCCCTCCAAAACCAAAAACAATAATAAATTGGTCATTTTCATTCTACGACTATTTGTGGGACATTGCTGTGCGCAATTGGCTGCCGCGTTCGCCCACAAATATAGTCAATTCACTTTACAGTGTGTTCTGTGAAGCGCTTTGGGACGTCCTCCCGACGTGAAAAGCGCTATATCAAATGCAAGGATTATTATTATCTTGCCTGATATGCACACACACATTGTTGTTTTATTAGTTTAGATAGATATACACACATACACTATATGGTATCTGTGGTTACGTGAGGGGCTGAAAAGCGGGTTTAAAGTGGACAAACCTGCAGAAACTGGCAGGTGTCACTGTGGGGCTGGAGGCTCACAATGTTTCACACAAGGGATCTGCAAACACAACTTTGTACAAAGCCTCATATTCTCTGGCCAAAGGTAAGTATACTGGAAGCCGAACTGTGATGTATATAATTCTCAGTTTGGTTTGGATACTCTTAAACATGGTGATGGGTTTCCACACGTGTCAGGAACTGGTAGTCTGGTTTCTGAGCCAGACAGGTCCGCAGTATTCCAGGGCACTGCTGATGACAACACAGCCAGCCTGGCTCATCAGCAGGACCTGAAAAGGCAAACCAGTCACCGGGGGCAGGGAATCATCCCACTCAACTGTTAACCCTGCAAGCCAAAGCCCTAACGGGTTGCGTGGTCCTAGCTGGACAAGCTAGCCGGACAGCAATGTCAATGGCAAGCTATGCGGTGTTAACTGGTTAAACTCCAGCAATACCCCAATGCACATTATGGGGTTCCCAAGCCTTTGCTCTTGCCAACCTGCACCTAATACTTTCCGGAATTAGGTAAGTAGGATGCATCCTTCGAGGGAGGATGCATATTCCATTCCAACAATCTAGCTCTAGGATTTGATTTCCATGTCTAGGTGGGAGGCATGGAAATCTCAGCTTGGTTTGAATACTTTTCAGCATGGTGATGGGTTTCTGCATGTGTCAGATACCCGGCTGACCCCCAAAAAATTATGTGGATATTTCTTACATTTGATATAGCGCCTTCCGTGTCAGCAGGATGTCTCAAAGCTCTTCACAGGATATACTGTAAAGTGGAGTGACTGTGCACCTTGTGGGTGAATACAGTAGCTAATTGTGCACAGTAATGTCCTACAAACAGCTGAATACCGGAAGCTACAGCGAAATACCGTTAGTTGGAAGACACAAATTGGTCATTTCTAATTTCAATTTTGCCAGCACTTTACCTAATTCTTTTGCTGCTCAAAATACTAAGAGCGTGGAAAGAGAAAGTGTATCTATAATGCTTAGAATTTTTCCACAGTTCAAGCTTGTATAATACAAAACATTCTCTGTGCCCGATAGTGTACTCCACTGCAGTCCCAATGAGAAACGATAACTTGCATTTATTTAGCGCCCTTCACACAGGATAGCATCTTGTAGGACTGCAGGGTGGTAGGGTTGGATGCTGATTAAGGGAATAAGGGGAAGTTGACCAGGGGTGCAGTTGAAGAGGTAGGTATTAAGATGGAATTTAAAGACCGATAAAGATGGGGTGAGACACAGGGTTTGAGGCGGGAGGTTCCAGTGGTTATGGGCATAGTGGCTGAAGGAACGGCCTCCTGTGATGCCATGGAGCAGCTGGGGGACACGAGCAGGCCTGTACCAGCTGAAAGAAGAGAGCAGGCATTCGATTGAAGAGATAGGTATTAAGTTTGGAGATAGTGAGGGGTGTCTGTAATTCTCTCCTGCATTTATTTCCCAGGAGTCAGACCTAAAGGTAGAAGAGAAATTACGTGAACCAAGCATTACCCCTTAGTGAAATATTAATAATTCTTGCATTTGATGTAGCGTCTTATCACATCTTCGAGAACATCTCAAAGTGCTTCACAGATAATACTGTAAAGTGAATTGACTATATTTTGTGGGTGAAACTCGACAGCCAATTGCCCACAGCAGTGTCGCACAAACAGTGGTTGATTGATTGGCCAAATTATTATTATTTCATTTAATTTTTTTGAAGGGTTTATTACCCTCAGAAAAACAATCCGCCAAACGTCCAACAACCTGGTTCCCAATTATTGCTAAGTCAGGGTGGTCCAACCTTTTGGTTACCATGGGCCGGATTCCTTTTTTGAGAAACGTCTGTGGGCCACAAGCAATATTTTGTGTTTCCCTTCCAAAAACATGACAGCATTTACACAGCACCCTTTTCATGTTGGAAGGATATCTTGGCACTGTCGGCTGGGCACCCGGGCTGGGTGTGGGAGCTGAGAGAGGTGGGATGGGAAGCGGAAAAGATGACCAAAAGCGTGCTCAACGAGTTAGGTCTTTACATGCTTTGAAAGAGGAGAGGGAGTTGTAGGGACTCCAGGAATAGAACAGCAACAAAATTACACGTATATAGTGTATTTCACATTGGAAATGGATAATATCACCCACCGATCTGGTTGGGTCCAGTGGCTGGCAGTTGGCCCACACTGCTGTAGGTAAACAGAGGCGTGTGGGGTAAGGAAACTTGCCTAATGTTTCGCCCTGCCCTGGAATCAAACCCAAGTCCTCTGGTTTGTGAAGCAAGTGCTGTAAACCAATATGCTATAGAAGTCTTTTTAACTCTCCATTAGCAAGGTCCTGAGCTGAATGACCATTTAGACAGGTATTCCCACAGCAACAGGTAATTTATTTGGACACATCGTGCTTTTTGTGTTTTTTAGGATGATCTGCGAATTGATGGTCGTGGATGTGAAGATTACAGACACATTGAAATCGAAACAGATGTTGTATCAAACACAAGCGGGTCTGCAAGAGTGAAAATTGTGAGTTCCATGCTGTGCTAAATGGAAATAACTGTCTTGCAAGTTTACTGCATTACAATACTGAAGTTGCACTAACATGCACATGCACATCAAATAGAACCATAGAAATGTACAGCACAGAAGAAGGCCATTTAGCCCACCTTGTCTCTGTCAGCTAACTCAGGAGCAATCCTTTCAGTCCCATTTATCCCCCTTTCCCCGAACCCTTGTAGCTGACTCTTTAAGATATTTGTTTAGTTCCTTCTTGGCCAATATGGGTTCTGCCTTAACCTCTGCTTCCAGCAGGGCATTCCATATCCTAACCGACATGAAGATCCTTCAGCTGTGTATAAACACTAAAGGTTTATTTATTACACTCCACCAATTATTATTAGTTTATTATTTACTACCACCAGTGTAGTTTACTGTATTCGCTGCACACGATGTGTTCTCCTCTACATTGGGGAGACCAAACACAGATTGAGTGACCAATTTGCTGAACACCTCTGTTCTGTCCACAAGCACAACCCTGAGCTTCCAGTTTCTTGCCACTTCAACTCCCCCTCCCACTCGCACTCTGACCGCTCCATCATTGGTCTCCTACGCTGTTCCAATGAAGCACAGCGCAAGCTCAAGGAACAAAACCTCATCTATCTGCCCTCCTTTGTTTTGCATCATTAACACCTCTTTAACCCACCATTTTCTCTTTTGTCTTTCTTGCCTCACCTCCTCTCTGTTAGTCCTTAAAACCTCTCCCTCCCAACATCCCCCAGTTCTGACGAAGGGTCAGGAACCTGAAAAGTTGACCCACTTTCCTTTGTCCATAGATGCTGCCTGACCTGCTGAGTGTTCCCAACGATCTGTGTTTTTGTTTCAGATTTCTAGCTTCTGCAGTATTTTGCTTATTAAGAGTATATTTATGCTATATGGTATTTTGAATCTCTTGTGTTAATGTCCAGACAGGCCTTGGAACTAAACTTGCTTTCAGGTACTTGAGATACAGAATGTTGCAACCAGCAGTGTGGATTCGGAATGGGAACGTTGTCGAGTGATGATGAAGGAAAACTAGGAAGACATTTCATCTCATTAATCTAGCTTTGTTTTTAGTGAGGGCTTTGAAGTTCAACACCTGGATTCAATTCCTAGCATGGTGAAATTTTGAGCAAGTTTCCTTACTCCACATGCCTCTGTTTACCTAGCGATAAGTAGGAACCCGGCTGTTTGTGGGACACTGCTGTGCGCAATTGGCTCCCGCGTTTTGCCCACAAAATATATAGTCAATTCACTTTACATCTCAAAGACGTAATAACATCAAATGCAAGGATTATTATTACTGAGTGTTTGTCAGCTGGAGAAATGTAATGTTGATGGGTTAAATGATTCACCTAAGTTCAGGTGAAGGAGGAAATTGAAAGCTAAAAGGAATTTGGTACTTGTAATTTACTTGTGTTCCAGAATCAATGCCTGTTTTCCATTAGCTGCTAGATCAGAAAACTACCTTGAAAAAACACCATAGTAGATATAATAATAATTCTTGCATTTGATAAAGCGTTTTATCATACCATTGAGACGTCTCAAAGGACTTCACAGAATGTACTGCAAAGTGAATTGACTGTATTTTGAGGGAGAAATGCAACAGTCAATTGCGCACAGTAGTATCCCACAAATAGTTGTGGATTGTGTGACCAAATTATATAGAATCATTCGGCCCTTCGAGTTTGTGCCGGCTCTTTGATTAGAGCAATTAATGTCAATCCCACTCCCCAGCCTTTTCCCCATAACCCTGCAAACCCGTCCTCTTCAAATACCTATCCACCGCATTTTTAAAAGTAGTTATCGAATCGGCCTCGACCACCCTTTCAGGCAATGTGTTCCAGATTCGAACAACTCGCTGTGTGAAAAAAATTCTTCTCACCTCCCCTCTGCTTCTTTTAGAGACTATTTTGAATCTGTGACCTCAAGTCACTGACACACCCACCAGTGGAAACAGTTTTTCCCTTTCTAACCCATCAAATCCCCTCATGATTTTGAAGACCTCTATTAGGTCTCCTCGTAACCTTCTCTGCTCCAATGAGAATAATCCCAGCCTCTCGAGCCTTTCCTCATAATCAAGGTCCCTCATTCCTGGTACCATCCTCGTAAATCTCCTCTGCACACTTTCCAATGCCTTAACTTCCTTCCTATAGTGTGGTGCCCAGTACTGGGCGCAGTATTCTAACTGAGGTCTAACCAGTGTTTTATATAGGTTAGTCATAGCCTCCTGACTCTTGTACTCTATGCCCCTATTTATAAAGCCTAGAATCCCATATGCCCTTTTTACAGCTTTATCAATCTGTCCTGTCACCTTCAAGGATTCATTTACCTGCACTCCCAGGTCTCTCTGTTCCTTCAACCCCCTTAAGATCCTCATCCTCACCTACAAAGCTATTCACGGCCTTGCTCCCTCCTACCTCTCTGACCTATATCCCCCTACCTACCTGCCCGTACCCTCCGTTCCTCTGGCTCCGGTCTGCTCCACATCCCCTGCCCCAACCGCCCTACCATCGGTGGCCGGGCCTTCAGCCTCTCAGCCCCGAGGCTCTGGAACTCCATCCCCCAGTGCCTTCGCCGCCTCCTCCCTTTCCTCCTTCAAGGCCGGTCTCAAGACCTTTCTCTTTGACTGTACCTTCAGTTCCCCTCTCGACTCTCTACCCCCCCCTCGCTCCCTCCCTCCCCTCACCCTGACCATTTCCCCCCTGCTCGGGTCCTGACCCAACTGTACAGCACCTTGGGACGTCCTCCCGACGTGAAAGGCGCTCTATAAATGGAATCTTGTTGTTGTTGTATTACCGGCCTATATTGCCTCCCTTCATTCTTTCTACCAGAATGCATTACCTCGCATTTCTCCACATTGAAACTCATCTGCCATGTGTCTGCCCATTTTACCATTCTGTCTATGTCTTCCTGCAGTTGACTACTATCCTTCTCACTGTTTACTACCCTACCTATGTTTAGGGATTATAACAACTAGAAAGCAATCTGCCAATTGGCTAACAACCAGATTCCTACTTCCTGCTAGGTAAACAGGTGTGTGGAGTAAAGAAACTTGCCTGAGGTTTCGCCCTGCCTGAGAATCAAACCCAGGTGCTCTCGCTTCTAGGAGCACTGAGTTTAAAACTGACTTCCATCATTGTTTTTCATAATATTAGTGACAGTTTGTGACTAGCTTTGCCTATGCCAGAGGTGATAGATGAAATTGAGAGAGTTTCGAAATTAAATTAAATTATCTGACCTGACGGTTGAAACAACCTGGATTGTGATGTTGATGACTTTCGGAAAATAAGTTTCACCTTAATTTTCTTTCCAATTTGTGGACCTATTATCCTTGCCCAATAGAGCTATATAAATAGCATCAAGCAGTACTATTGTTGAGTTTGAAAAACCACAGCCCAACTAATGTTACAATGGTAAGGTATTTTCTTTCCCAGTTCCTGATCACTTTTTCTCAAATGTTATTAATCTTTTTTTTTACAAATTGCTTTTTCCGGCTCTCGCCTACCATCTATGGTATTTGTGCCTCCAGGGTTAAGAGCGAGTGCTGGCATGAATCCAATTTAGACCTAATAAGAAGTTATGACCTGGATAATGTTTATCAGTCAAATATGAATTTTTAATTTTGCAGTCATTTCTATGCACTGTTTTGTTGCTGCAAGCGAAAATAGTAATGAAACAAATCTCTTCTTTAGAGTCTGTGTGAATCGAGAATTGATGGGGTATCAGTCTCAATTTTCTAAATGATGAGAACTCTCGTGTATGGAAATTGTGTTTTAATTTAAAGGGCAGTGATGCAGACAAAACTGCGAGCATTATTCTGGTTATTAATTAGCATTTCTGATATTTAGGCAAATCACTGGTATTTTTTCATCCTTGCAAACTCTCTATGTTTTATTGATTGTCTACAAACCAGGCATCTTCTGCTTTGACATTTCTTGCATTTGGATAAATTGGGATGCTAACCAGAAATGAAAGATCTTTTCTAGTAGAAAAATCCTACTTCTAAAAACACTTTTATTCCGCTGAACTGAGTTCTGAGAATTGTTAAGCGGCCGAGTTTCCTGTTGCAGCGATACTACAGAACTTTTTCCAAGTAAAGCAATCAATGTGAGACCTCACAGGATATATTCCAAGCTATTGATTTTGAGACTCCCAATAAAAAATATATCTAATCTGCCCACAAAATACATCCAATATATAATTACCAACAAAAATACAGCTACTACATTTTACAGTGAATCTTGTAACGCATTCAGGTTCATGCTTCTAACGTGAAATGTATTTTCACTACTTATTATATTTTTCTGCATAAAAATATACATTTCACCTACCACTGTCAGATATATGTGTTTGTTGGAGACTGTTTTCCACAAAGCCTGCCCAGATATGAACACTCTGAAATACACCTAGTGATGTTTTCATCCACATGTTTTTTTCTCTCAGGGTCATACAGGTGTTCTGGTTGGAGTTAAAGCTGAAATGGGAGCACCCAAGCTGGAGAGACCTAAAGAAGGCTTTTTGGAATTTTTTGTGGACTGGTACGATGCACTTCAAATAACTTGGGTCTTGTTTTCTCGCGGGAAATTAAACCTTTTTAAGCTCCCATTTGAATTTCTCTGTAATAACAATGCATGTACACATTCACACAGAATGATATAATATAACAAAATACACAGTCACTCCACTTTATAAATGCAGTACATTCTGTGAAGCGCTTTGAGATGTCTCAACGCTGTGATAAGGCGCTATATCAAATTCAAGGATTATTATTATTTTACCTTCCTATTTCGGATTTGAAAGTGTATCAGTCTACTAGGTAATATTGTGATCAGTGTACCTGCATTGTATTAATGTGAAATGGATCTCAATGCATTTGTCAGTTTGCAAATGACACAAAATGTCATGGGGAATGCAAACGTGGAAGCCAGTGAATTTTTGAGTTTATAAATACTAAAAATCTGGTACTTAATTTAACTTTGTTTTCGCACCAAACTTGGATTATTAAATACTTCAGTCTATGGATTTTCCACTGAGCAATTTGTTTTTTCAGACTTTTACACAGTTTACAAATTACTTAGTTCAAAACAGTACTTTTGTTTGGTATTTGTGGAGGTAAATGATAATATATTAAGACTCTTGACAAGGCTGTGTCTGCCAGGAACGTGCCCTTTGTCGTTTAATTTGGTGCAGCCAAGTTTAAATCCAGAGAAACAATCAGAATTCTTAGAGGGAAGTGCACAAAATAAATAATTTACTCTGTAAAAGTGTCACTGCCTTAGGGCTCATTGATCATCAATTGCACTCAGTGGGCACTGACCACACTTTGACACACAAATTGTAATTCTATGACTGAACACGAGATGGAGCCAATACAACATGTCAGATATGACTTGATTTCTTTCATCGCCAAGTGGTTGTGACTAATTGAAAACAAAACCTTAGCTTTCGTCGATCAATTTCTATTTTTAAATGAAAAAGTTGATTTATAAAATAGATTGCAATATTTTGAGGCACCTGTGTCTAACTGTAGTGAGCTGCTGTTGTGATATTGATGTGGTTGTGTTTACCAGCTCCGCTAACGCAACTCCTGAGTTTGAAGGGCGTGGAGGAGAAGACCTTGGCACAGAAATCGCAAACACCCTGTACAGAGTGTTTGATAATGGCAGCAGTTTGGATTTGACAGCCTTGTGTATTACTCCCAGGGAACACTGCTGGATCCTCTTTGTGGATGTACTGGTAAGGAGTCTCGTAGCGCACTCGCCTCACAAGTGAGAGACCCGGTTTCATTCCTGGACAGGGCAGACCCTTAGGCAAGTGTCCTTACTCCGCATGCCTAGCGGTAAGTAGGAACCCAGTTGTTAGTCAATTGGCGGATCACTTTCCAGCGGTAATAATCCCTCCCCAAAATAATTCACTCAATCCCCGATTGTTTGTGAGACACTGCTGTGTGCAATTGGCTGTTGCGTTTTTTCCATAAATACACAGTAAATTACCTTTACAGTATATTCTGTGAAGCACTGTGAGATGCCACAACAACGTGATAAGGCACTATATCAAATTAAGAATTATAAGTACTAGAGAATTAGTTCCCAAAGTATAGAAAAATGTGATCTTCATAGTCAATCATTTCTTCCTTCTTACTCCCCACTCACACATACAAATAGCTGCAAGTATTTGTATGACATGTAAAATGTTTTTAATTCTAGAAATGTGCTGAAGAATTAGTTTTAGATATGACCAAAGTTAAACATGTTTATCCTATTCCTTTCTCCTTACCCACCTATAACTTCCTTTGACCCTCTATCCAGCAGCTGAGTGCGACAACAACAAATTACATTTGTATAGCGCCTTTCGCTTCGGGAGGACATCCCAAGGCGCTGGACAGTCAGGGCTTTGGACCCAAGCAGGGGATTGGGATCAGGGCAGGGAGGGTAGGGATAGGAGAGTGGCCAAAGGTGCGGCTGAAATGGAAGGCCTTCAAGGAGGCAAGGGAGAGAGCGAGGCGAAGGAATTGTGGGATGCAGTTCCAAAGGGTGGAGGCAGAGAGGCTGAAGGCCCAACTGCTGATGGTGGGACGGGCAGGGCACGTGGAGCAGACCAGAGCCTGCTGAGCGGAAGGAGAGGACAGATTAATATGGGGTTAGCGGGTCACAGAGGTAGGAAGGAGCAAGGTGGAGCAATTTGTGTAACTAACAAATTATTGCATGATGCACATGCACATTTGTTAGTTACACAACCAGCTCTTTAAAAACCTTACACATAGTCCCATGAAAGGTCTGCAGCGCTGATGATCCTAGAAATTTTAAGAGACAATTTTTGATCAGAGGCCACATGGATTGCACAATCTCCTATTTATACAGTAAGAATTGATGCCCATCCAGAATTGTCTTCTCAAGGTTTGTGTATGGTGATTAGCTAGGAGTCTGATATGCACAGAAAATCCATTCCATGCCTAGGTTTCTAGTTACAGCTGCTGAGAATTGACAGTAGAGTATTTAGATTAATATAAAATACATGTATTAAATCAGAGCACGTCAGGGATTTTCAATTGTCCGTATGTTAATTCAGCTCCATTGCTCGAACCAAATAGTCTTATTGATGTCTTCAGCTGTCTCAGCTAAACAAAATACCTTGAAATAACACCACGTAAAGTGTATTCACTCTTAATAGTAATGATTAGCTGTCACAGGCTATGCGTGTATGTGGTTTGCTCACTGTTTGGTTGTGTTGTGATGTCTTGTGAGAGAGAAACAGCACCTGTGCTGTTGGAAGAGCACAATGTGAACTGTATGCAGACTCAGGTTTTTAGCTAGAAATAAAAAGTCTATCTCTTTTGGGCTAACCTATAAATCCACAGTGGGTCACAAGAGAATTAACAAGTGGCCTCCTGATTATACTTGACAAGTTATTTCCATATTTTGTTAAGCACGACACAATATTAAAACTGCCAAGCACAGAATTATAACTGTTGAGTGTAGAGGGATAAGTGGCGTTAAGCATGCTTTCGAGTTCTCTACCTTCCTTTGTTTTGCCACGATTTTTCTGATCTTTGTACCTTTTGGTATTTTTTGTACAGTAGTCTTAATGTTTCACAAGGGCATCAAGAGGGCTCCCTTAATAATGGAGAAGGTGTAAAAGTACCACATTGTATCTTTTTATTCTCGCTTTTTAATCTTGTGTGATTTGCCCAGGACTGAACTGTGGTGTGAATTTGTAATATTTATAAAAGGAGGGGACGTACTAATTTATGTCTTCTGTCTAATTTACAAAAGCCATCCAGATTAAAATTATATGAATGGGTTGAGAGAATATTGGTTTCACATCCTCTCTTTATGCCACCAATGTATTGTGGATTGTATTGTTCTATAAGTCTTTCATTAACTGTAAGGCCTTTGCTTTTCAGCTGCTGGAGTGTGGTGGCAACCTTTTTGATGCAATCTCCATTGCAGTAAAAGCAGCACTTCACAATACCAGGTAAGGTAACAATTTCACACAAAGTAATAAGGTTCTCACAGTTGTTTGTGGATATTGAGGTATTTTCCTAAAGACTATTATCAATCTTCCTGATTGGAAAGGCATTATATAAATGTAAATTGTATTGTATTAAATCATCCAGCTTCAGGTTTTCACACGAACAATGCAAAATGAATTTTAATTTACAGTTTGAAAAAGTTTCCCTCTTTGCAAACTCTCCATGTTATATTGATTGTCTGCAAACCAGACATCTGCTTTGACATTTCTTGCTTGTGGATGCATTGGGTTGCCAACTGGAAGTGAAAGATCTTTTCTAAGATGTCATTTGTACTTCTCTATAATTCTAATTTGAGGAAAGAGCTGGCAGTCTTGACAGTTCTTTAATAGCATTTCAATGTAGCAGTCATGTGCATTTTCATTAACAAAGTCCCTATGATGCAGTGAGGCACACATTGTCCTGATTTGCTCTACAGCACCAACAACAACTTGTATTTATACAGCACCTTTCACGTAGCATACGTTTGAGTGCATCACATAGACTGATTTGAATATCAAACCCAAAGAAATTGAGGTGCATGCAGGCCTGTCTGTCTGTCTGTCAGGCAAGTGGACATCAATGAACCTGGAATCGAGTAGAAATCTCTTGCCATCTCCAGTGTAGACCTGGCAGTAAAAGTCTGTGCTGGTTTGTATCTAAAACAGTGGCATTGATGTAGGATAAGTACTAAGTCTCAACAATGTGATCAGGCTCCATTATCAAATGCAAGGATTATTATATTACAACCGGAGCATTAAGAAGTTCAGTTATGATGACACCTATATATCTTGACCAATATATGTTGTGAAGTGGATGCACTAAGCTGAGAGAGTTCAAGTGGGTCCTGATTCTGCTTATTGGTTAAAATATCTTGGGCTTGTTTTTGTTATTGAGCAGATATTTAATCAGTTACATACGAGCCTGACTATGATTGGACAGCACTATTTAACCAGAGGAGGACACCGATTTACCACTTTCCTTTTTCCGCTTAAGAATCCCAAAGGTCAGAGTTCTGGAAGATGAAGAAGGTTCAAAGGAGATTGAACTCTCAGATGATCCCTACGACTGTATTCGCCTGAATGTGGAAAGTGTGCCGTGCATAATCACACTAAGCAAAGTGAGATGAATCTGCTGTTTGTCTTTTATATACATTTTGGGTGTCAGCCTGGTTGAATTGGTAGCACTCTCACCTCTGAGACACAGATTGTGGGTTCAAGCCTCATGTTTGCACTTTAAGTTCACTGGCTGACACTCCAGTGCAGTACTGGGGTGTGCTGCATTTTGGAGCTGTCCTTTGGATGAGACATTACGCGGAGATCCTGTTTGTCTGTTCCCATTACACTTTTGAAAAGAGGCGTTTCTCCTGTGTCCTGGCCAACAATCCCAAATGAAATCACTTCACTTCATAGCTGTTTGTAGGATATTGCTGTATGCAATTTAATGCCCCTTTTGTCTTCCAAGTACACAGTTATAAAAATTTATGGTAAAATCCCATGAAGGCTTTGAGGCGCCTCAATAATGTGATAAGGCACTATATCAAATGTATGGATTATTATTATACCCCTTTTTATCCATGGTTTTGATATCTTAATTTATCTTGCGTCCAGCATTGCCTATGTGGGTGTGAAAAAAAACCTGACTATGTTCATTATGGTTATTGTTAGTATACTTATTTTCAGTAGATGAACACTTTGTATGGGTACAGAACCACTTAGTCAGTTTCTGTAACTTATTTGGGGATTTGTATTATGTATTTCTGGGCACCTGGACAAAGTAGTTTAGATGGTTTTTTAACAAGGCTGTTAAAAATACAACAGATGCAGAGGAATATCAGTATAGTGAGAAATAGTTTGAAGCAAACTGTTCAGCTATGGCTGAATAGTGTAAATTGCAATGTTAGAATTATGTTCTACTGTTTCTACTTAATTTGATACATGTACCTTAGTCTCGGAGTCCCGCAGCGAAGTGGTGACAGCATTCGCCAAGCTAGAGGACCCAGACTTGATTCCTGTGTGGGGTGAAACCTTCAATGGCATGGGCCTTCCTGAAATAATCTTCCAAGCATAAAGATTATGCCTCTGGGAATGTCATATCCAGTCTAAGATTTCTGTTGATTTTCTGAGTAAACATGAACTAACACTGCACTGATCTGCTCTATGTAAATTGGTACATGCCTATAATCCATGTGTCAGTGTCTACACTAAAAATAAATCCCTGCACTTAATAAAGTGCCTCAAATCCTCAGTGCCTCAGTGCTCAGAGCAATATCCCACAAACAGCTATGAAGTGAATCATCAATTTTATCTCGGGATTATTGGCCAGGAGAAATCCCTTCTCTTTTCAAATAGTGCCATGTCATCTTTTACGTTCACCTAAACAGGCCGGTGACATCTCAGTTTAATGTCACATCCAAAGGACGGCATCTCCAACGAAGAAGAACACTTCCAGCATTGCACTGGGGTGTCAGTTTGATTTGATCTCAAAGTCCCTGGGTGGGGCTAGAACCAACAAACTTTGGACTCAGAGCTGAGTGTGCTACCAACTCCAAGCTGACATACATTACTGTAAATTCCAGGGCTTTACTCACCTACAGCCTTGTAAAAGGGCAAACATGTAGGAATGAATATTCTGCGTTATATTGGGTTCAAACCGTAGGTAGTGCAAGGCATTAAAGCAACGCCAAAACAAAATATATGAAAGAAAATGTATACTAAAAGTGTTTTTAAATTCAAGTAATATCCCATGACAAACCCTTCTTGCCACATCCAACATTCCTCAATTTGGTATTACGTGGAGTTCTGTAACATAGTGGTTACAGCACTACTCTACAGAAACACTACAGGATATTAGGACGCTACCCCATGTGAAGGGCGCTATATAAATAGTTGTAGAGTACTCACCTCGCAAGCAAGAAGACCTGGGTTGGATTCCCGGGCTGGGCAAAACCTTAGGCAAGTTTCCTTACTCCACATGCCTCTGTTTACTTAGCAGTAAGTTGGAACCCAGTTGCTGGTCGATTGGCGGATTGCTTTCTGGGGATAATAATCCCTCTCCAAAAAAATTAATTTTGACACAAAATACACAGTTAAAATCACTTCTCAGTATATTCTCTGAAGCGCTTGAGACGTTTCAATGACTTAATAAAGCACTATATCAAATGTCAAGAATTATTATTATAGTCAGTAACCACTTGGAGCTTCAGGGAGAAAATTCTGAGTTTCTACTATTCTACTTGAGTTTCCTATTAACATGAGAAGGTTGCACCCTGGACTTGCCCACAATAGTGAATTTAGAAATTGGCTGGTACAATGACAATCATCAGTTCTGTGGTTTCCACAACACAGTTAAACTTGAGTGTCAAAAATAAATACGAAGGGTGCAGTTAATTCACTGCAGAAAAGGATGAATGTTCAGTTTTCTGAGAGATTCGTAAAAGCAAACTTATTTTTGGAAGGAAAGGATTTTAAGAGGTGACTTGATTTAAGTCTTTACAATACGGAAATATAATACAAAATTACATTTGTATAGCACTTTCACGTCGGGAGGACGTCCCAAGGCACTGAACAAAATGAATGAATAACGTGGTCGTATTTAATTTAAACTGGTTATGTGACCAGAGAGTACCTAAATGCAAAATCTGTGATAACTGGAACAAATCCGGAATAATTTAATGTTTCCCAACGATGAAATATGTAGAATATTCTCAACAAAAGCAGCAAATACCATTCCTTTTAATAAAAGAATAACCAGTTTAAGAATTGGGATTAAAGGTTTATAGCGATAATAAGTCTAGACGAAGATGACCAAATATTCAATGGAATGCTATAGTTACTGTCATATTGAGACCATGGGAATGGAATTTGTAGAATGAGCTGGCGGCGGCTGTATAAGACAACGTGTGGTTGGATTGTGGCCGACAGTTCTTACTTGAATTTACTGTTGGAAATTGGAGAGAAGATAATAATAATCCTTGCATTTGATATTGAGCCTTATCACATCTTCAAGACGTCTCAAAGCACTTCACAGAATATACGGTAAAGTGAATTGACCTTATATTTTGTGGGCTTCTCAGACTTAGAAGTTTTAGCTGTCACCTCCATTAAGAGGTCAAATAAATAAATTCATGGCTGCTTGTGGAACATTGCCTTGTGCAAAGTGGCTGCCATTTCAACTACAAAATATGCAGTCACAATATAAGGACTGAAAAATATCAACATCTCACCAATTCCTTTTCCAATGAAAAAATTAAACTTTTAATTTTGAATACCAAAAAGAATATTTCAAATTTTAAAAGTGATAAGTAAACACATTAACACAATAGAAACCTATAAGATTCTTAGGGGTCTTGACAGGCTGGATGCCATGAGACTGTTTCCCCTGGTTGAAGAATCTAAAACTAGGGGTCATAGTCTCAAGATTAAGGGTCAGCCTTTTCAAACTGAGTTGAAACATTTCTTCATTTAGAGGGTATTGAATTTGTGGAATTCTCTACCCCAAAAGGCTGTGGATGCTCAGTCCTTGAACATATTCAAGACTGAGGTTGATAGATTTCTGAAGGATAGAAGGGTTAAGGGATATGGGGATAGGAAGGGAAATGGAATTAGGTCAGAAAATCAGTCATGATCTTATTAAATGGCGAGGCAGGCTCAAGGGGCCGAAAGGCCTACTCCTGCTTCTATGTCTTATGGTCTTATAAAAACATCGACCAATGGGTTTGCTTTACAAACAATAGTTTTTCTTTGAGGTACAGAACACAAACCATCAGGTCTCTCAGATTCTCCTCTTTGGATTCTCTCTTGATGGCCTCCTCTCAGATCTTCCTTTCTGGCCTGGAGCCTCACCAGTTAAATTATTTTGAGGATTTGCCCACATCCCAACAAATAATAATAATATATAATAATCCTTGCATTTGACATAGCGCTTTTTACGTCTTCTAGACGTCCCAAAGCGCTTCGCAGAATAGACTGTACAGTGGATTTGACTGTATATTTGTGGGCGAACGCGGCAGCCAATTGCGCACAGCAGTGTCCCACAAACAGTCGTGGATTGAAAATGACCAATTTATTTTTGTTTTGGAGGGATTATTATTAGGCTCTGTGTGGAGTAAGGAAACTTGCCCAAGGTTTCGCCCTGCCTGGAATTGAACTCGCGTCTCTCGCTTGCAAAGCGAGTGCTCTAACCACTGAGCTACAGGACTCCACACCAGGACTCAAAAGCCTTTGATCTTTACAAACACTTGTTCAGATCTTTACTCACAGGGTGGTTAGAATATATTTCCAACCACCCACTGATTAAAGATCTTAAGTGTTTGTTAAGAAATTCCCTGACAAAATCTTGTAGAATCAGAGACCTTTCGTGTTGGGAGAACATCCCAAAGTGCTTCACAGGACATACTATAAAGTGGAATGTTTGTGTGTGCATAAGAACATAAGAATTTTCTAGGCAAAAGAAGTCCAAGATCCATCCAGTTCGCCTTCCACCATCCTGGCAGTCGCATGACATGTCGTGTCCCAAACTATATATTGTATCCTGAGATATTATTTCCTACAGAAATCTATCTAATTTATTCTTGAAAAAATCAACACTCTGCTTCCACCATCTCCCTAGGGAACCTGTTCCATACGTTTAATACTCACTCACTAAAGTAATGTTTACTTACCCTCCATCAATCGCAGGCTGTGTCCTTTGGTTCTACTGTTTTTATGGGCTAATGAGGCAGCCAATTTGCGCATAGCAATGTTCTACAAACAGCCGTGGAATTACCAAATTTATTTGGGAGATTGTTTTTGCCAGGACACTGGCCATGGGATCTTTAACATCCACCTGAACAGGCAGATTTTAACGTTTTAACGTATTATCTGAATGACACTACCTCCAAAAAGCAATACACCCCCAGCTCTGATTGGAGCGTCATCTCATACTGTTAAGTTCATTAAGTTCAGCATCCTGACGTGGGGCTTGAACCCACAACTGTCTTACCATACATGCTTGACCTTACACATAGCTTTCAATTTTAAGAAAAAATGTCAGTGATTTTTACAAACCAAGTTGTTGTGAATATACAGTAACTGCCATTAGATTGTGTTAAGCACACTGAAAATTATCTGCAGTGTGGTGTTGCTCTTCTAAAAAATAAATAGATAGAAGCTTGAAAAATAGAAATATTAAAAGGTATAGCAGAAAGCAGAAGTGGGATTAGAATTGGTGACTCATTTGGAGAAAATCACCAGTGTAGACTTGATGGGTTAAATAATAATAATGATCTGTTAATGTGTTGTACAATTTTATGATTCAATATTGGGGTTGAAAAACCATTGCTGATGAAAGCAATAATGTTAATCACTGCTTGATGAAGTGCCTCCTAATACAAAATTCAATGGGAAACCAGGCTCTCTTAAGAGCAAAGTTTGTGTGATTTACAAAAGAATTCAAAGCCGGGAAGTGTTTTTCTGGCAGTGAGGGTCTTATGACAGACACTTTCAGCAGCTGTGCATTTTTCAACCCCATTAAGATCTTTTATGCCAAGCTTTTGTTTTAATTAGAGTAAAATTAAAGAGGCTTTACAGAATCAAATTCCAACAGCTGGCTAAAGGGGCTGAGCAATGCATTTAATATTGTGTCCATTCATCATAAGCCTCAAGCAGTTTAATCTCATAATTGTTTTTGGTGCTCACTGAAATAGTAAAGAGGTTAAATGCAAGCAGCAAGGAAGTTAGCATATTTGTGGATATGGTTATCACCTTTTCATGCTTTTTCATCTGTACTCTCTGCTGTGTCTTTGACCCCATAAAGCAAAGTGCCCTTCACATGCCAAGCCTTTTTCAATGATAGATAATCAAATTCAAAGCAATTCTTTATTCTTAACAATCAATGTTTGTGGTTTGGATTGCAGATTGGTTACAGACATGTGGTGGATGCCACCTCCCAGGAGGAGGCTTGTTGTATGGCCAGCTTGTTAGTCTCTGTCACTGGCAAAGGGACCATCACTTGCTTCAGGAAAATTGGAGGAGGCAGTTTGGATCCAGCAAGCATCTTTGAAATGTTGGAGGTATGAATTGAATGATTGAAGCAATTATTAAGTTATCACAATCTCTTTATTACTAGTTATCTACGTTACCTCTGTTGTATTCTTTCTGCTCCATATGAGCATGTAATGAGTTTTGAGTTCTGCACAACCTGGTTGGTAGGATGTTCATAGGGTTAATGGCAAGCCTCTGACAGCTGTTGCAGGCTACTTGCAGGTTTGTGCAGTTAGCACTGATCAACCTCAGCTTTCTCCAGCTTGGGACTCTGCTTTGTGTCCTGCTGAGTGCAGTGACCGGGGAATCTGATGTATGAGCCAGCATTTCATGGTGTAGCGTGCTAATGCCTCAGTGTCGTGTACCATGAACTTCCTTGATTGAAATCTGTAACCAACCCAATTATAAGATAAGTGGTTAATAGACTTCCTAATGATATAATAGACTTTCTAACGATATGCATGTTTGAGGTCCAAATCCAATATTTTTTGGTGGGGTTTCACTTAGATTATTAACTTGGCAACATCACTGCTTAAAAATAACCATGAGCAATCTTTTCAAAGTGTACAAGCTACATGTTGTCATTTGCAATTTGATAGTTAATGTGAACTGAATTATTGAAATAATCATAACGGCTAAACATCAGAGTAGTTGGATTGTTGCCGTCCTAATTATAAGCTCTGATAAGCTAGAACTTTTCAGCCTTGATAGGAAATAAACCAGTGTGTATCACATCCTTAATGGGACAAAGCAAATAAGCCAAGAATAATACTTTAAAGGCAGCAGAACAAGAGGGCTCAGATTCAGGGTTGTGAAGGCAAACATCAATTGATCTCCACACGACATTATTCTATTTTGTAAACTATGTTTGGTCTTCCAACTCTTAACTATCAAAACTGGTACAAAAAAGCTTGATCATTGTATTTTTCAGAAAAGCTCCTGTTCTATGTACAAAAAAATGTTTCTGCGATATTTGAAAATTAAAATTGCCCCACTGCCACACAAATCTTCCCCTAGAATTGTGACTGCATCCATTTGCAACCAATTTATCTTTTACTGCAGGAACAATATACAATTCCTCTCTGATCAGTGCTCTGTTGTACAGATAAATAAGTTTATTGTTGAAGTAAAAACTCATGAAAACAACCACAAGATTACATTTGTATAGCACCTTTCACGTTGGGAGGACATCCCAAGGCGCTGGACAGTGTAAAGCATTTCAGGGAGGGAAAGGGGGGGTGACCGATGACGTGGTCGAAGAGGAGGGTTTTGAGGCTAGACTTGAAGGAGGCCAAGGAGGGGGGAGGCAGAGTGATTGGGGGATAGAATTCCAGAGGTTGGGGGCAGAGTGGCTGAAGGCTCTCCCGCCAATGGGATGTTAGATCTCAGTCCACCCGTTAAACTAATTAGCTTTTCAGTTGCACCCATGCTCTGTGTCAATGTTCAGTATCATTAAGTAACTCCGTCAAAGATCATTATTCAAATACTTATAATAATATTAATCTTTGCATTTGATATAGCGTCATATCATGTCGATGAGATGTCTCAAAGTGCTTCATAGAATATAGGGTTAGGGAATGAATTGTGAATTGACTCTGGGACGCTACCCTGTGTAAGGGGTGCTATATAAATGCAAGTTGTTGTTATTGACTGTATATATTGTGGGCGAAACATAGTAGTGTCCCACAGTCATGGATTGACTGCACAAATTATTATTTATTATTGATTTATCACTTTTGAAGGGATTATTACCCCTGGAAAAGCGATCTGCCAATCGCCTAACAACCAGGTTCCTACTTACTGCTCGGTAAACAGAGGCATGTAGAGTAAGGAAACTTACTAAGGTTTTGCCCTGCCAAGAATCAAACCCATGTCCTCTCGCTTCTAACCACTAAGCTACAGGACTCCATGAGATGGTATCTCAGAGGAGTGGAGAGGAAAGAAAAATGCGAGGCAGATGTCTGTTGCAGACCATCCCTTGTTGGGTAACTGGGAAGATGTCATTTGCCTACCACGTTCTGTTTGAAAGATAGCAGGCTGGGGACTGAGAGGAAAAGGTGAAAAAATCAGAGTTCAGTGGGAAGCAGTGTAGTGCAGGACCGATGAGAGAGAGAATTTGTTGAAATCAGAAACTAATGCACCTCGTCTGAAGTTTGCTGTAGATTTGATTCCTGATTGAATTGTCTGACAGGATGAAGTTGATGCTTCATTATATTCACTTTAATGATTTAATGATGCTTTTTTCCCCCCCCCCCTCCTCCCCACACACTATCAGACAGGAAAACGAGTGGGAAATGCTTTACATGTATCGTTACAAACCACTTTGGAAAAAGAAGAAAGTTTAGGAAAGAAACGTGAAAAGGTTGGATTTCTGGGTTGAATTTCAAAATGTAAATATTTTTTATAATAAAAGATTTGTTTATTATGTCTCTGTCTCATGACAAATTTATGATGAACTTGTGAAATATATACATTTTAGTAAATGCATAAATCCTAAACTTACAATAAATCTTGTTCTCATATTTGAATCCCTCCATGGTCTTACTCCACGGGTAAATTAGAAACAAAAATGTGAACAGGAAGCATCAAATATATACTTGATGCATATGATATTCCATCATTGAGTTTAACTAAAATATGATGAATCCTATCCAGATTTCACTTGATTTACTGTTTATTGTAATTTTTTTGCCTTTGGGATATGGATGAGGGAAAAATGAGATGGACTGTGAGACGTTACCTTGAGCCCCCCACTCCCAACAAAATCTCTGCCATCCAGTGTCAGCATTAAGCACATTGAGCAATCTCTAGTAAAGTATAAGCTACGTTCATCTAAATGCAGCTTCATCTAAACCCTGTAACAATTCTGTTGCCGACGTCAGTCAGCATTGTTCATTCACTAAGTGAGTGCTAGATGTGCAGAATAAGGAACAGGTTTGGGCTTTGTGCCCACCCTACCAGGAATTGATTTTAAACAATTCCACGTAGAATTTTACTTTCCAAGATTTCATTACGTCAGTTGTGCTGATTTCTAAACCAGGTTGCAGCAATAAAAGAACAATGTTCGATCCCATCATTCCACTCTCCCTAAATATTTTAGTTCTTCCCAGTGCATAGAATAGAAACCGTCTGGAGCTACTTGTACTGTATCACATTGCTGCGCTGCCAACTTCAAATGGGGACAACTGTTCCACTGCTATTATTATTAGGCATCGCACTTTGTGATGAATTTACCCTGCTGTGTGTCAAGCTTTGCATAAATCTGGTGCACATTGTGCTAAATTAATATATGCAGTTCTTGTTAACTGTTGTGTGACCTAAGTGAAATGTGTTCAGTTTCTGCAAGGAAATAATAGAGCTGCACATCAGTAATGTTGAACAGCAACGAACAACAAATTACACTTGTATAGCGCCTTTCACGTCAGGAGGACTCCCTAGGCGCAGCTGAACTGGTGGTTGGGATCACGAAGGGTGGAGGATGGGGAGGGTAGCGGTAGGAGGGTGACCGAAGGTACGGTCGAGGAGAATCTAATCTTGAGATGGTTGTTGAAGGAGGCAAGGGAGGAGCCGAGGCGAGGCAGAGGGACTGGGATGGAGCTCCAGAGGGTTGGGGGAGAGAGGCTGAAGACCTGCCCGGCAATGATGCGGCGGGCAAGGCGAAGGACGTGAAATAGGCCAGAGCCCGCTGAGCAGACAGATTGGTAGGGAGTTAGGAGGTCACAGAGGTAGGAAAGGGCAAGGCCGTGGAGGACTTTGAAGGTGAGGACCAGGATCTTGAACTGTATCCTCTGAGTGATGAGCCAGTGCAGCTGGACGAGGATGGGAATAATATGGTCATGGAGCTTGGTGCGGGAGAGGAGAATTCTGGATGATCTGCAGCCTCTGGAGAGAGGAGTTGGGGAGGCCGACAAGCAGGGAGTTTGCATAGTCGAGCCTGGATGTGGTGAACGAGTGTATGAGGGTCTCGATAGCCTGTGGTGAGAGACAGTGGCGGAGCCGGGCAATATTGTGGAGGTGGGGAAAGATGGAGTGGGGTGCAGAGTGCATCCATGAAGAGTGATGCTGATGGGATATCATATGCATCAAGTATGCTGTCAGGTATGGAGGTGCTGACAGGAGCCATGCCATGCCTCAATCTTGCTGACATTCAACTGGAGAAAGTTTGCTCTCATCCAGAACTTGATGTCTGACAGGCAGTCTGTAAGGACAGCTGTGGTCCTGGAGTCGAGGGTGGAGTCAGAGAGATAGAGTTGGGTATTGTCCGTATATATGTGGAAGTTGACCCCATGTCTACGATGATATCACCAAGAGGGAGCATGTAAATGTTGAAAAGGAGGGGACCAAGGACAGGGTCCTGAAGGATGCTACACGTGACAGTGTGGGGTACTGGAGGAGAAGCCGTTAGTGGAGACCCAAAGTGGAGATGGTGGGAGAGATGGGATTGGCACCAAACTAGGGCAGGTCTGTGAAGGTTGAGCTGAGAGGGCATTGAATAAAATGTATTGGTGCTTGTTCCTGAACCTGAAAGGAGTGACATACTAGCTTGGTACTAAATAATGGTGCACCTTTAGTCTGTTCATGAAGGTGTCAGATGAGATCATTTTTGCAAGGAGGAAAAATTGACAGAAGATTCACTCCAGTCACAGTTTTTCATTCACTAAGAGCTAATCGAGCATTGATCTTAACCTCCTGAAGACCTACGTTTCCAATTTTAATCCTAGATTGTGCTAGTTCTTCCACGTTTTTGCTGGAGAGTGCTGAAAACAATCTAGGTGTAAATTAATAAATCATCAATCTTTGACTGTATAATTAGCCGTTGCTAGGTAGGGCTTTGGAACGTTTAATGGAACTTTGAGACAGAGTTGCTATAATCCTAAAAGGATATTGGATTTCTTTCCATTATTGTAATTGGCAAATGTTTGTCTCTTCCGTGCCAGGAATGACATTTTTTAACAAATATGTAATCTGGAATGGAGATGTGATTTTTTTTTCTCTCTCTCTCTCTCTCTCTCTCTAATATATATATATATATAATGGATCCATATGGTATCCATTATTGTTCATGTCAAAGGCTTATGGGCAAAGAATAATATTGGCTGCAACGTCTCGAAAACTCCAGCCAGCTGGACTTTCTGCTTATGTAATTAAGGTTTATAAATAATCCCTGTGTTTGATGTAGTGCCTCTAACATTGAAACGTCTCAAGGGAATTAAAGGGAATCGTTGTCAAGCGTATTTGTAGGGAAATGTGGCAGTATTTTTGCACACTCTGGGATGCTACCCCATGTGAAGGGCGCTATATAAATGCAAGTTGTTGATGTTGTTCTACAAGCAGCCATAAATTATAAATTTGCTGTAGGATTCTTGGTCATGAGAAAATCTCGTTTCAATTTGAGTCATGGGATTTTTAACTCCACCAGCAACTGGGCACTCAGTTTAATATCCAACGGACAAATAAAGAACAGTCTATCTTGATGTGTTCCAGGAACTCACAACATTGTGACTTAGAGGTGAGTGTTTTGAGTCAAGCTGACACGTGGTAACATCCATAGTGGTGTGTTTTCAGATGAGACGTGCGATATTATCAGCAAGTGTCATGAACCCTGATTTATTTTATTTTATTGTGTACTGTTTATAGTGCCTCTGTTTGTTAGGAAGCTATCTCACATGAAATCCAAAGCTGTCCTTTCTCCCTCACATCCGCACTACAACTGGCACCGCCTTCCATCACCTTCGGAACATCGCCAGACTACGGCATTACCTCACCCCTCACGCTGCTGAAACCCTGGTCCACGCCTTTGTCACCTCAAGGCTGGACTATGGGAACTCTCTCCTCGCCGGCCTTCCCGCCACCTCCCTCCACAAGCTGCAGGTCATTCAGAACTCTGCAGCTCGTGTACTGTCCCGCACCAGGCTTCGGGACCACATCACTCCCACCCTCGCTCGCCTCCACTGGCTCCCCATCCCCAGAGGATTGATTTCAAGATCCTCATCCTCACCTACAAGGCCATTCACGGCCTTGCTCCCTCCTACCTCTCCAACCTACGATCCCCCTACCTACCTGCCCGTACCCTGCGTTCCTCTGGCTCCGGTCTGCTCCACGTCCCCCGCCCCAACCGCCCTACCATCGGTGGTCGGGCCTTCAACCTCTCAGCCCCGAGGCTCTGGAACTCCATCCCCCAGTGCCTTCGCCGCTTCCTCCCTTTCCTCCTTCAAGGCCGGTCTCAAAACCTTTCTCTTTGACCGTGCCTTCAGCTCCCCTCTCAACTCCCTTCCCATCCTCGCTCCCTTCCTTCCCTCCCCTCACCCTGACCATTTCCCCCCTCCTCGCTCCCTTCCTTCCCTCCCTCACCCTGACCATTTCCCCCCTCCTTGCTCCCTCCCTTCCCTCACCCTGACCATTTCCCCCCTGCTCGGGTCATGACCCAACTGTGCAGCGCCTTGGGACGTCCTCCTGACGTGAAAGGCGCTTTATAAATGGAATCTTCTTGTTGTTGTTGATAAACTGTAAAGTGAATTGACTGTGTTATTTTAAAGGCAAATGTCCCACCAACAACCAGGAACTGAATGACCAATTTAACTGGAGGAGACTTGGCTCAGAACAAATATCCTTCTCTTTTCAAATGGTACCATGGGTTCAGCCCACCTGAAACAGGCATAATAATATAATAATCCTTGCATTCGATATAGCGCCTTACCACGTCTTCGAGATGTCTCAAAGTGCTTCACATAATATACTGTAAAGTGAATTTACTGTGTAATTTGTAGGCGCAACACGACAGCCAATTGCACACAGCAGTGTCCCACAAACAGTCCTGGATTGAATGACCTAATTTTTTTTAATGGGTTATCCCCAGAAAAGCAATCCAATAATCGGCTAGCAACCGGGTTCCTACTTACTGATAGATAGACAGAGGCGTGTGGAGTAAGGAAACTTGCCTAACATTTCACCCTACCTGGGAATCAAACCCAGGTCCTCTCACTTGCGAGGCGAGTACTCTAACCACTGAGCAGCACACTTCCACAAGACAGGTGGGACCTCGGTTTAACATCTCATCCAACGAATGACAATGCCTACAATATAACAGTTCTCCAACATTGCACTGAAAAATCAGCTGATGGACTGTGAAATCCATGTATCCAAAGTAGGACCCACAACCATTCTATCCCAGAGGTGAAAGTGCTAGCACCGAGCCAAGGTGATACACTATCTTTTATTTGTATATTGTATTGCGGCAAAATCAGTTTGCTGATGCTCAAAGGGAGTTGCCCCTACTTATTCCATGTCCGGTGTTCAGCCTGTGACATCTTACTTTCATACCACTAATGAGTACAACAGAATGTGCTGCTATTTAAATTTAGAGCAACTTTGAATCCTAACCATTCATCCATGTGCTGGAGAAAATGCCCTGTCTTGGCTTCTTCAATGGCTTTGTGGGCAAAGATTGCACCATTGTACCACTAAGCCGTACTGACCAGAAAGTTTCAGGCTCTGTTCCTGATCTGTTCTGAATTAGCTGATCACAGATAGGATGCCAGCAACATTTGGCTTCAGGGAACTTTGTGAGGAGAAAATCAGCCAGGGTTTCCTGATTCTAATTCAATAATGACCTAAGCTGGAAAGTGTATATGGGTGCGGATGTTGGATGGGAACCATCAAGCAAGCTGTGATTCTGCCACAGTGAAATAGATTGACTGGTCTCACTAAGTTCACACATGGAAAAAAACATGTGGATGAGATACTGAAAGGCTGGAGAAGCTCGAACAAAAATAAAATGGTAATTACAACTTACCATTACAAAACATGTTATTTGTCTAGCTAGGGTTGCCTGATATATCAGAGCATTGGTTGCAAGACTCAGGGCACTACCCAAATCCGATGAGCAACACATGCTTATCAACTGTTATAAATTGCTTGTATTCCTGGTGTTACTGGGAACCTATATGTCTTCATGAGACAAGTATCCTCAGGCAACCATGTTAACCACAGGGATAAATTGCCTGTTAACCACAGTGATAAGTTGCTCCCTTGACAGGGATCGCTCTTGCAATACAATACAATTTACATTTATACAACGCCTTTCACCTCAGGAGGGAAGACAGCTTCAAAGTGCTTTGCACTGCTGGCTGGGCACCCAAGCTGGGAGTCGGAGCCAGGGTGGGAGAAGGGGAAAGATGACTGAAAGCATATTCAAAGAGCTACATCTTTGTCGGGTCCTTGAACGAGGTGAGGGAGTGTGTGAGTCAAGGAGCTCCAGGATACAGTTCCAGAGAGTGGGGGCAGAATTGCTGAGAAACAGCCCACCAATGGTGGGGCAAATAGGATGGGCGACATGAAGCAAGCTGGTGCTCACTGAACAAAGGGAACGCTGGGGTGGTAGGGTTGAAGAGGGTGCAGAGGTATGGTGGGGCGAGACAGTGGGAGATTATTTGAAAGTCAGAACAAGGATCTTGAATTTGATCAGCTGGGTTGAGGCGCCAATGGAGCTGAGCAGCCTTACCTCCCTCCTTTTCCTCCTCCTATCACCAGGACACAAATCAAAGTAGACCATGTGGCATTAAAACAACATTTGTTTTGGAATGCTTGTTCTAGATGTACAGGGTTAATGTCAGGATAGTACTGCACTGCAGCTTTGCTGACCACGGGTGCTGAAGAATACACAGTGCTAAAAGTGAACAGCTAGTTAGATGGAGAATTGGAAGTAAAAAGAGTTGTGAGTAAATGGTGCCTGCCACTGCTATTCTTAACTCTGTCCGTCATTTAATTCCCCATCCAACACAGGCCTGTCATGGAGGTTATACAACCCAGAGGTTTGCAGGATGGTATTTCCAATCAAAGCAAACTTCTAGTGTGTTGATTTTGCTATTTTTAAAGAGGGAAGGGGTTGTTTTGGCAGTCACATGGAACATAGAAAGGAGGCCATCCATCCCATCGGGTCTGTGCCACATTCACCAGCTTGTTCAGATAATAAAAATCACTGTGCACTTTGAATCCCTCCATGCGCAAAGCAGGGATTTGACACTCGCTAATAGTGGAGTCATTCAAGCACACAGTCAAGGCAAATGGCACAAAATCAGATTCTTGGAAACAAAATTAGAACAATTGGTCCACAGCGGTGTCCCACAAACAGTGATGGATTGAGTGACCAAATTATTATTTTTTTGGAAGGGATTATTATCCCCGGAAAAGCAATCCGCTAATCGACTAATAACCGGGTTCCTACTTATTACTAGGTAAACAGAAGCGTGTCGAGTAAGGAAACTTGCCTAACGTTTTGTCCTGCCTGGGAATCAAATCCAGGTCCTCTTACTTGCAAGCTGAGTACTCTAACTAATACGCTGCAGGAAGCTGACCTCAAACTTAAGACGGAATTCAACAAGCTGTCTGAAATGCATGCCACCTAAACAGAGTAAATCTAGATCCAGGTGAAATTTCTCTCTTCAAATGCACTCAATAATGTTTTAGAAATTCAATAATGTGTTGCTCAGGATATTGAATGTGAGCCCAGTTAATAATAATAATAATAATCCTTGCATTTGATATAGCGCTTTTCACGTCGGGAGGACATCCCAAAGCGCTTCACAGCGCTTCACTGTAAAGTGAATTGACTGTATATTTGTGGGCGAACGCGGCAGCCAATTGCACACAGCAATGTCCCACAAACAGTCGTAGATTGAAAATGACCAATTTTTTTTTTTTGGAGGGATTAGGCGTGTGGAGTAAGGAAACTTGCCCAAGGTTTCGCCCTGTCTGGAATTGAACTCAGGTCTCTCACTTGCAAAGCGAGTGCTCTAACCACTGAGCTACACACAAGACACACAAGAGGCAAAGCCTTTAAGTACAAATCAACATCAGGATATTCCGAGGAAAGGGGACTGCAGATTTCTCAAATATTCTTTAATAAGACCTGGGTACTAACTCTACAGGAACATATAGGACTGCAACAAACTCCTCTTAAATTTTACACAACATCCTATCTCTTACAACTAGTAACTCAAGCAGATGGAAGTAACATAAAGTTTTATTTTTTGTTGGGCATTTGATCACTCTTGTTACATAAACATTGTTATATAAAGGCTTCTGCCACATTTCCTCTGGATAAAGGCCAGTAAAACAAGATGTGAAGTGCAGCTGCAGACTGCTGGCCTGCTGTTCCACTCAGATGTTTGAATGCTCTTGCATGCAGGCCACAGCTGCCTCCTATTAGCTGTAGTCTCATACCATTCACCTCATCACATTAGTGTTGGAACTGAGAAGAATTCCAAATATGAAGATTTTTCAGCTCAGGTCAATGTGGCCTCGGGATCACTGGTGAGTGGGGCGTGGGGAAGGGGGGAATTCTTTTTGGTTGATTTAACAACATCTCCACACACCTTTCCGAGGTGTAACGTTTGCCCAGCACCAATAGGACATTTTGAGGCACTCCAAATCAGTGCCCGCCTCAATCTTCAGACAAAAGATAGAACTGTAGAGAACGCACTTGTTTACGATGAAAGTTATAATAATCCTTGCTCTTGAGGTACTCTCATGGCTACAATGTCAATAATATTGACCGTAAGTGCACTGTACAAAATTAAACCAGGTCCACTGAGTTGAAGAGGCTCGTTGCCTAGAATTGCTTAGCAAGTCACTGAATGTGACTCTGTCTAACTCACACTTTGCATTATTCTTTAACAAACCAGCGTGTTACTCTCCTAGTTACTATCTCCAACACAAAATTGTTACTCGCCCTATTACTGTGTCTCTCTAACACTGCAGTATGTGACTCTGTTACTGTGTCTCTCTAACACTACGGTGAGTTAGTTTCCTTTCACTTGTATCTTCTTGCCTCCAGCACTGAAACCAAAATTACAGATAATCAACTTTCGGGATAAAACAAATCTAAAATTAAATGTTAAAAACAGAAAATAAAATGCATGTTTGAAAAATGTGTCTGGGACGGTTAATCATGTACAACCCTGCTCAGTGTTATGGTTTCAATCTAAAGACGATTACACAGGAACAGATAGTTTGAGGGTGTTGTTTCCTCTCTGGCCCTGGTTGTGAGGGTGGATCTGGTGTGCGCTGGGGATCTGGAGACTTGGAATCTTTCCTCTTTGGATGGAGTGTCTGGACGTCAGGTTTTCATTACTGCGTATTCCAGCTTCACAACGAGCACAGGATAAATCTAAGCAGTAGCTCTCCTGGACTCTCCACTGTCTCGCACACCATGGAGCTGAGAGGGACATTGTTTGCAGTCTGCGTGCTGTGTCTGCTACACATTACCTACCAGCAGAAGAAAGTTCCAGCCAAGAAGAATAACCAGGCAAAGAAAGGTAAACAGGTTCTTGCTTTTTACTTGCCCTGATGCGTCCGTATGTAAAAATATCAAGTAGAATCCTCCCAAATCTTGAAGAACCTGGGGTCAAAATGGCTATTTACACAGCTGTGTCTGTACAGGATTTGCATATATTGGATCCTACCAGAAATCAGTCACAGCGATCCATAGGAACTCTGCTCTGACCTCGTCTCCTCCGGTTGCAAGTCTATAATAAAGTAATAATAATAAACTGTACATTTGATATAACACCTTTCACGTTGAGAGAACATCTCAAAGTGATTTCCAGGATTTTATTGCAAAGTGTAGTGACTTTTGTAGGCGGACAGGACAGCCAATTTGCGCACACCAACGTCTCACAAACAGCCATGAAGTAAATGACATAGTTTATTTGGGGGATTGTTGGCCAGGACACAGGGAGAAACTCCTTTCTCTTTTCAATGGAGGGCTCCTCCTGCACTATATTATAGAGTGTCAGTCTGGTCCGTGAGTTCAAAGTCCAACGTGGAGCTTGAGTCCACATCCTAAAGACTCAGAGGCAAGAGTGCTACAAATTTAGCCAGGCTCTAAATTTTGCATCTTTAATCCATGTTTCCCCCTTCCCTCCCCCTCCCCACATAAGGTTTCTTCTTTTTGTCGCTGTGCTGTGACTGTTTATGGAGTATTCAGGTAGATGAATTATTTGATAAGAACAGGATTGGGCTGCGCTTTGATGTTTCATCCCCTCCACCCATGGTTGAATAACCTGTCAGTATTCGCTGTCTCGGCTCATGCATGAATTTTCTTTGGTCAGCCGGGTATCTGACTTCCAGAAACCCATAACCTTGCTTAAGAGTATCCAAACCAGACTGAGAGGTCCGTCCATCCAATTGGAATGGAATGCTCTCTCTCTCCCTCTCCGGAGGGATGTGACAAGCAATTATGTGGGTGAGATCCCAGAGGGCTGCCAGGAGCCTGCTGAACCGTACTGGAGGGGGAGTCAGTGATAGCAGGAGGAGAAAAATAATTCCTGTGGATGGATTGTTTCAAACAGAAACAATGTGCTGAAAGCTCTGGGTTAAAATGTACACCATCATCGAGTATTCCATCTGTGCTGCCGGGTACCCCTCACTGTGGAGTTAATGGGCAAGATACTGTATTATATTCACTATTTCAAGCTGCTTATTTGCTAAACAGCTCATTTTTGGCTGGGGAGAGTATAAATTCTGTCAGCGGATCAACCCTAATAAAACAATATTAAATGAATATTATTGTAAGCTGCTTTTGTCCCTACAATTCATAATTATGTCTATGTTCACTTCAATAATAATGAAAGATGGGGAGTGGGGTGGAGGGGAATGGGCGCAATCTGATCTGAAGAGGAAACGTCCACTGGCTGGAGAGTGCTGTTGCTGTCACCTTGTGGTGGTTTATGTCAGTGTAAAATAACACAAGGAATGTTTTACATTGCAATCTTCACCCCAGGATTAGTAACAAATTTAAAACTACCTGGAGGGAAATAAACACAGTGTATTTAGTGTAGAAGCCAGTGTGTGCTCCAGAATGAAACTAAAATTAAATTGAAATGAAATGGAAAATCTCCCAAAAAGGTGAAATGTTTCCTCAATTCATGACATCTTCCAACAATACGATCTTCGTAGTGTGTAATTTAGCGAAATCTTACATGTGATTTCTGGTTGACTGATGTTGAGCTCAGAGCGTAGCTGTATTTTGTGATTTGTTGGTAATTTATTTTTTTACTTGTCACATAGCAGCAGTGACTCCCAGAGTGATCGAAGAGATCAAGAAACAGATTGAATCAATCTTATTGGATCTGGATTCACTGAAGGAACAACAAGCACTGCAAACAGGTAAGAGGAGGGGTATTGAACAACAACAATAAATTGCATTAATATAGCACATTTCACATTTGGAGGAGGTCCCTAGGCTCCAGGACAACACTTTAAGATATACCAAAGCTGCAGGACAGCAACAACAACAACACAATTACATTATATAGCACCTTTCATGTCGGGAGAACGTCCCAAGGCACTGGACAGACAGAGTTACGGACCCGAGCTGAGGTTCGGGGTGGGGGAGGGTGGAGGACAGGAGGGAAGCAGGGAGATCGAAAGCACGGTCGAAGAGGAGGGTCTTGAAAGTGGCGAGGGAGGGGGCGAGACGGAGAGATTACAAGATGGAGTTCTAGAGGGTGAGTGCAGAGTGGCCGAAGGCCCACCCGCCGATAGTGGGGCAAGCAAAGCAGGGGATGTGAAGCAGGCCGGAGCTCACTGAGCGGAGGAAACGAACAGGATGGTAGAGGGTTAAGAGGTCAGAGAGGTAGGGGGGAGAAAGACCATGGAGGGCTTTGAAGGTGAGGACCAGGATCTTGAACTGTATCCTCTGTGTGATGGGAAGCCAGTGGAGTTGGGCAAGGATGGGGGTGATAGGGTCGTGGATCCTAGTGCAGGAGAGGATACGGGCTGCAGAGTTCTGGATGATCTGCAGCCTGTGGAGGGAGGAGTTGGGGAGGCCGACAAGCAGTGTGTTTGCATAGTCGAGCCTTGATGTAATGAAGGCGTGTATAAGGGTTTTGGTGTGACCTCTTGTCCTGCAGCCTTGGTATATCTTAAAGTTGCGAATGGCAACCAGGAAGCAATTCTTTAGACAACAGCTGGAATAGGTTCCAAGGAAAAGTGGAGCAGGCCAGGGTTGGCAGAGCAGAGAGAGTGGGTGGGACAAGAGGATCCCAGGAGATCACAGTGGTGGATGGGACAAGGGCGTGAGGACATTTGAAAATCATTGCAAGGAAATTATGATGGTGCCAAGGAGTACTGAGGGCTGAACAGCGGGGTAGGAGGAGATTAGAGCAATAGGGAGGGTGTTAAGGTTTACAGAGATTTATAGATGATAATAATAATAATCCTTGCATTTGATAGCACCTTATCACATAATTGAAACATCTCAAAGCACTTCACAGAATATCCTGCAAAGTGAACTGACTGCATATTTTGTGGGGGAAATGTGATGGTGAGGACCTGGAAGTCCAAATGCAGCTTTTTTTATAGTCTCTATACACTTACAGCTTGGTTAATAATAATAATAATAATCCTTACATTTGATATAGCGCTTTATCACGTTGTTGAGACATCTCAAAGAGCTTCACAAAATATATTGGAAAGTGGATTGACTGTATATTTTGTTTGCGAAACGTTCCAACCAATTGTGTACAACAGTGTCCCTCAAACAGTCATGGATTGAGTGACCAAATATATTTTTAACGAGGATTTATTACCCCCAGAAAATGATCCACCAATCGACTGACAACCAAGTTCCTACTTAATGTTAGGTAAACAGAAGCTGCAAGCTACAGCAAAGTTGATCACCACGGTATCTCAAAGTACTTTCATCCACTTTGCTTTTTCCTCAGTGTGCCTGCGGGGGTTCAAGATCCTCAGGAAATGCTTCCTGGTGTTCAGTGGGGAAAAGAACTACCACGAGGCAAGCGAAGACTGCATGTTGCATGGAGGGCTCCTCAGCACCCCACGGAATGGGGAGGAAAATGACCAGCTGTACGAATACGCCAAGAATACCGTGGGCCCCAACCTGGACATCTGGCTTGGCGTGACCGACATGGTGACCGAAGGCAAGTGGCTGGATCTGAATGGCAACAACATCACCTTCACCAACTGGGAGACAGAGATTACCTTGCAGCCCGATGGGGCCAGCAGAGAGAACTGTGTGCTGCTCTCAGGCCAGGCCAACGGCAAGTGGTTTGATGAGTCGTGTCGCTCTGCTAAACACTTCATTTGTGAATACAACATTCCGTAAATATGCCACAACATGAAAAACACCATAAAGATTACACAAGTATAATCTAACTGGATTAGTTATGCTATCGATGCTTTACTGGTTTGTTCCTTCAGAACAGACATCTTGTTGCAAATGGTGGAGATATGAAAGCACAGAACCATTGAGAACTGTAGAACCATAGAAACTTATAGCACAGAAGACTACCATTCGGCCCATCGTATAAATATGATTCGCTTTCTTTGGAGGGTGAAGAATAAATACCTTTAAAATTTATATTGGGATTCAGAAACTCCGATGTTTACAATTAATAGAAAAACAACCTGAGTTAGGAACAGTCACAAGATCAGACGAGAGGTTTAGATGAAGAAGATCCATTTGAGATCATTTGATCTCATCCTTCCATAAAACAAACCTACCCACCATCTTCCCATCAAAGTATTAAGCTTTATTTTGAAAATGTGTTGGTACCATAACTCTGCAGAAAAGGTGACAGAGGCTCAGGCTGGATTGCAGGGGGAAGGAGTGAGGAGTAGGTGTCGGTGTGAGAAACACAGCGCTGTTATGTGTTTGATGACTTCTTTGTCACATAATGCACGGCAGGAGGTGGGTGTCTGTTTTATAAACCTTAACCCCAACCAGCACAAAGGGTATAACAAGCAGCACAGAATGTAATAAAAACCTGGTAGACAATGCACTTCCTACATTAACTTTCATATCTTCACCAATTAGAACAGGGTGTCCTTATTAACATTATATTATGCATAGCTCTAATTTGAATACCTTTCCATAAACTGCTGTATTTTCCTTTGTGAGGATATGAATCCCTCTTTCCCTCCCCCTCTCCCTGATCTCCCCAGAGCTTGTCTGATCAGTAGCTGACATGTGGGTGAGTGCCCTGTTCTGGGTGTCTGCCAGTGCCACCTGGTATAACAAGCTCTGGCACTTCAGCCAAGAATAAGTTCCCCTCTGGTTACTCCTCCCCAACTGGTTACCCCTCCCCAACTAGTTACCCCTCCCCACTGGTTACTCCTCCCCACTGGTCACTCCTCCCCCACTGGTCACTCCTCCCCCACTGTTTGCTCCTCCCCACTGTTTGCTCCTCCCCACTGTTTGCTCCTCCCCCACTGGTTACTCCTCCCCCACTGGTTACTCCTCCCCTGCACTGGTTGCTCTTTCCCCACTGTTTGCTCCTCTCCCCTCTGGTTGCCCCTCCCCCACACAAACTGGGGAACCATCAGCGCCAAGGGTGCCTCCACAGGTGCTGCCACTCAGAATGGAAGTGGCAGAGTTGAGGAAGAGAAGACTAAGGGTTGTGGGCACGGACCCAGATACCCTTCGATGCTCCATCATTGGCTTCACGATGTGCCTGTCAAGCATAGTATATGTAACCTATCACCCAATAACTTATCACCAGTGACTCCCACTGCCATTCAGATGAAAGCAACTCTGAGGGGACAATTTACCCAATTGTCCCTCCCTCCCCATGGGTTGGGAAGGGCCCTACTCACAACTAAGACCAGTGTAGCAGATGTGCGTCTTTGCACTCCTTGTCACCATGTGCTATCGCTACACTATGTTGTCCGCGATGTGAAATATTTCTTAGCTGTGCGGGAATTCATAGCTTGCTTAACTTAGTTATCTTGTACTGAACAATTGTGCAATGCATGTTATTGTACTTTCCAGTGCTTGTCTTAAATAAAAGTCATTCAAAACAAAGGTATCTTTTCCCCTCCTATTTTCTTCCAGCGAATCCTGTGAAAAAGCTTTCATCAGATGAGAAGCGACCCATGCCTTGAATTTAATAATCCCTTCAAAAGAAACACTAAATAATAAGAATTTGGTCACTCAATCCATGACTGTTTGTGGGACACTGCTGTGCGCGCTACACAGCACCCACGTTTCTCCCACAAAATATACAGTCAATTCACTTTGCAGTATATTCTGTGAAGGGCTTTGAGGCATCTCAACGATTTGATGAGGCCTAGATCAAATGCAAGGAATATTATTATTATAATTTCTCATATGTGGGCCTATTCTTACTAGAGGTGTGGAGCATCAGAGGCGTGACTCAAGGAAGGTGAGTTGGACTGTAACTGTGTTTATTCTTCCCCCAAGCCAGAGCACCTTATGTATACATGTTACCTCACATTCCTGTCCTAGTGAGCTGGATGAGCACTGAGAAAACCCATGCCAAAAGGAGGCAAGTGTGCTGGAGAAGCTACAACTTTTTGTGAAAAGACGACTGAGGGGAACATATTAAATACGAAAATTGTTTCACAAGATCACACGTATGACCTACTTGACATAACTGAAAGTATTGCAAGTTTACTTTCTTGAACTCATTAAGAACCTTATGGACCTCTGTAAGGTGCCACTGAGATATCTTATGTGGCATAACAGGAATGTGCATGATATGCTCATAGGTGAACCACTTGACCAGAGCAGTGGATAAGGGTGAGAGTTATATATGTTACAGTAAAGTTATGAAACCAGGGATTTCGTGAAATCCCTGAAATTATTTTAAACTGTAAAAAAGTGATTCCAGCAGTCGACAGGGGGAAAGGGGATCCCAGGAACATATCAATATGATGAAATGATCACTTTTTCATGAACTCCTTGATTCCTAATGCCAGTGATTTCATGGTTTCACAATTTTACTGAAAATTTCAGGGATTTCGTGATTTCGCACTTCCTACCACCACCTCCCTAACATTGCCAGACTCCACCACTGCCTCACCCCTCAGACTGCTGAAACTCTCACTCAAGCATTCGTCACATCAAGGCTCGATTACGGGAACTCCCTCCTCATCGGCCTTCCCAACTCTTCCCTTCACAAGCTGCAGATCATCCAAAACTCTGCAGCTCGTGTATTCTCACACACCAGACTCCGTGACACCATCACTCCCACCCTCGCCCGACTCCACTGTCTCCCCATCCCCCAGAGGATCGAGTTCAAGATCCTCATCCTCACCTTTAAGGCCATCCATGGCCTTGCCCCCTCCTACCTCTCTGACCTGCTGACTCCCTACCAACCTGCCCGCTCCCTCCATTCAGCGGGCTCCGGCCTGCACCATGTCTCCCACCCTACCATTGGTGGCCGGGCTTTCAGTCTCTCTGCCCCCACACTCTGGAACTCCATCCTACGGTCCCTTCGCCTCGCTTCCTCCCTTGCCTACTTCAAGGCCGGTCTCAAGACCCTTCTCTTCGACCGTGCCTTTGGTCTCCCTCCCACCTCTCTGCCTTCCCTCACCCCTACACCAGCCCTCCCCCATCCTCGGGCCCCGACACCTAAATGTTCATCGCTTTGGGACATCCTCCCGACGTGAAAGGGGCTCTATAAATGTAATTTTGTTGTTGTTGTTGAGGGACGCATTCTACTCATCTAATTCCGGAAAGTATTAGGTGCAGGTTGGTATGAGCCAAGGCTTGGGCATCCCAGAGTGTGCGTTGGGGTAATTCCTGGAGTCTAACCAACTAAAATCATATAGCTTCCTATAACAATTGGGAAGGTTTAACAAGAACAGTGAACTCCACTGTTTGCACATTACAAATGTGTTGCTCATTGTCTGGTTTGACAAGCTCTTTCCTTATCGGTCTTTGCTGTGATGCTGAGTCAGCAGCAAGTCATCACCCTTGATACATGTCTGGGAAACATAAAAGAGCAGAAGGTAGGTTCATCTGACCAGATAGACAAGGATTTCTGAATACTGCTTGTGGCCTCACTTCTGTGAAATCTCATTGGCCCCCTGCCCAGGTGAGAAGCTGAGCACGGCAAGTCTCTTCATGTTAAAATATTTTCTTTTACGTTTATCTGTTAACAATTTCAGTCCTTGGCACCTTGTTTCCCCTGAATATTTTCAGTTCTGCAAAAGGATTGAGGAATCCTGTTAGAAATTGCCACGTATTCAACCCTATAATGACATTTCAAAATGCGCATTCCTGTGGGATAGTGGTTAGAGCATTCGCCTCGCAAATGAGAGGACCCGGGTTCGATTCCCGGACTGGGCAAAACCTTAGGTATGTTTCCTTACTCCACACGCCTCTGTTTACCTAGCAGTAAGTAGGAACCCGGTTGTTAGTTGATTAATTAACAGATCGATTTCCGGAGATAATGATGCCTCAAAAAAAATGTGGTCATTCAATCCACGACTGTTTGTGGGACACTGCTGTGCACAATTGGCTGCTGAGTTTCGGTCACAAAATATGCAGTTAATTCACTTTACAATATATTCTGTGAAGCGCTTTCAGACAACATTGTGATAAGGTGCTACATCAAATGCAAGGATTATTAAGGATTATAAGAATTAAAAGGAATTGGAAGGAAGGAAGTATTTGAAGAGAAATCTAAAAGGGAATAGAAAAAGAGAAAGGCATTGCAATAGTGAGCTCCAGTGTGGAACTATCAACATGTCAAGTTGGGTGGGTCGAGTGGGTTCCTTCTGTGCTGTAATTTCTATGATCATAGTCATAGCCCTGACTAGAGATTGGGAATTTTGAGTGCAGCATATTCATCACAAAATGTTTGGCAAAGTTACTGGAAAGGAGCAGTAGATTGGGATTAGGATAACCATCTGCAGTGTGGGAGCTGGCACCAGCATAGGCCCAGTGGAATAATTGGCCTATTTTTACGCTTTAAGGTCTATAAAGGGTGTGAGCTGTTTTGGTTGGTTGCTTCACACAAGAATGTACTGTAATGTACATCCAACTGAGCCCCTGAAGCATTATATCATCATTGTAATGAGGGTAACTACAGCTCTTCTCACTTTACCAAATGGTTTGCCAAACACATTTTGGAGTCCTGTAACGTATTGGTTAGAGCAGTCGCTTCGCAAGCGAGAGGACCCTGGTTCAACTCCGAGCAGCAATTAAGAATCCACCTGTTAGTTGATTGGCAGATTGCTTTCCAGGAGTAATAAAGCTTTCAAAATCATTATTTGGTCACTCAATTCACTACTATTTGTGGGTCACTGCTGCATGCAATTGGCTGCCATGTTTCACCTACAAAATTTACCGTCAATTCACTTTACAGTATATTCTGTGAAGTGCTTTGAAACAATTCGATGACATAATAATAATAATAATAATCCTTGCATTTGATATAGCGCTTTTCACGTCGGGAGGACGTCCCAAAGCGCTTCACAGAACACACTGTAAAGTGAATTGACTGTATATTTGTGGGCGAACGCGGCAGCCAATTGCGCACAGCAATGTCCCACAAACAGTCATAGATTGAAAGTGACCAATTTATTATTGTTTTGTTTTGGAGGGATTATTATTAGGGATTATTATTATAATAAGGAGCTATATCAAATGCAAGGATTACTACTATTATTATTTTTACAAAAGACAGTGCCCCTTTAACAAGATCTTTCTTACTCTCTCCCTTGTGCCAAAGATTTTCATTCCTCTGATTATCGAATGGGCTAATTCACGTTTCCAGCTAGTTAACGTGCTTTGAAGCTGATTTCTTTCAATTAATTTCTTTCCTAGTGTATAACAGAATTGAATTTCCTGGGTTTCCATTAGTGAGTTCCAGGTCTCTCTGGAACTGGGGCAAAAAGGATGCATATACAAAATAACAACAACAACAACACAATTACATTTGTCACGGATTTTGGTTATGGCAGAGGACACGGGTTGCAGAGTTTTGGATTATCTGCAGCCTGTGGAGGGAGGAGTTTGATTACAAGCCCTTATTCCTTTGGCCACTCTACTTCTATCCATGATCACAACTACCTTCCCACCGACCTTTCTCTGCCACACACTGATTTCTGTCTATAACAACCCAACCTTCTCCTTCCCTCACCATATTATCCCCACTCCCATCCAACCCAAGTCGCCTTCCCTATCACATGCCCACCTCACCCTAAGCCTTTCCAACCAGCTAAACGTCAGTTGATTAAATGTCTTGAAGCCACTTCAGTTGTTTCACCCAAGATGGAACCAACAAGAACTGACTCAGGAGCGTTTAGGTAACCTGGATATGTTCACGCTGGAGAACAGAAGGCTGAGGGGCGATATGATTACAGTCTTTAAGATTCTAAAGGAACTAGATAATGTATTCCATGATAAGCTGTTCAGAGGACACGGCCTGCGATTGAAGGGGATAAATTCAGAACAAATCTGCAAAAACACTACTTCAGTGAGCGAGTAGTAAACATATGGAACAGGTTCCCTAGGGAGACGGTGGAAACAGAGTGTCGATTCTTTCACGAATAAATTAGATAAATTTCTGTTTGGAAATAATATCTCAGGATACAATATATAGTTTGGGACACAACATGTCATACGGCTGCCAGGATGATGGAAGGCGAACTGGATGGACCTTGGTCTTCTTTCACCTAGCAAATTCTTATGTTTCTTATGAAACACTGTATTAAAGGACACTCACTGACAAGCTATTTTATTCAATTAAAGTTAATTCTAGCAAAATTATTCTCAATTCAGTGGTCTGCAAGCAAAGGCTAAATTGTTAGAGTGTTTTTTGCTGTTGTTAATTTCTGTTCGTTTTTTAAACACATCTCTCAGTGCAAACTAGTCCGAGCTTGTGAATAGTAAACTCAGTTCTTGGCACAGTTAACCCCTCCCAACTGTCTGTCTTGTAGAGGCAGATCTTAGCGGTTAGTTTCCTATGAAGAGAGAGTACACATTGTAGAGAGTATGTGTCAGACATCCATACTAACCAAAAAATAAAACAAATCCTGACAAGCCACTTC